TGTGATCAATCATCTGAGGCAAAATAAGCACACAATAAACTTGCCAAATTGTCTTATTGCCTAATAAAATCATCAGAAGACGGTGGGCAGCGAGAAGTCGCCGCGAAGAGGAAAGTGAGTGGAGATAGAACGAGATCAAAAGGTGATGGACGAACCCATAACTTTCGATTTCTCCGCGCGCTTCGAGTGCTGGCGCTGAGTGATAAATTGCCGCTCGAGATTTGAAGTATAATTTCCACGGCGGATGATTGGGTGTGCTGGTGGTCTTGTGGGAAAAAAGCCGCGTGTGGCACGCGGGTTCGTCGCTTCTGTATCACTCGCGTCTTTCATTTGGGCGCGCACGCAAATTCGTGATTCCATTTCTCACTCCTCATAACTTCACTTTTTTTGCCAGCAAATTCACCCAACGGTATAATTGAGAGGCTTATGAGGAGAGGCAGCATAAACAAACCGCATAAGCAGATATCAAGTGACTTTATTGGATACATTTTCCCTCTTGACGCCTCGCGAGGAAAGCCAAGTTGGCATGAAAAGCCGAGTATTCTCAAGAGAAACGCTAATCATGAAGTATGGACAAGTGGAGGAATAATTAAAAGCCCCTTTCTCCAGCTTACACACATTCTCAATCAACAATTGGGCCTGAAAATCGTCTGGAAAATCACTTAAGCGGGAAGCGCGCGTATAATCGTAAAATGCTCATTATTGAGCCCATTATGATGGCTCTGGAGAGCAATTTCTCATGCTTGAGTTAAGAACAGGAAGAGAGTGGCGAGCAGACAAAGGTTTTCACATCGCAGATCTTCAAGAATCCTGAGGAATTTGCGCGCAATTGCAATTCTTGGCCGGCTTCTTGGGAGATCATAAAGGAATTCTTAGACAGACTCTAGAATTTTCACATATTTTATGTTGCTGTGATACTTTATAAACCCAGTGAAAAACCATACTGAGATTGCTGAGCTTTGACTGTTCACTAAAATGGCAATGGAATAAGAAACGCGCAGCTTGCAAAAATGCTGATTAAGTGAATTTATCAAGCAGCAAAAATCTGGCTCAGTATATCACTAATCTCTCTTCCGCTGGCGAAGAAGAAGCCCTTGTTGGAAGTCAGTAGACCATGCGGAAGAATCTTTAGTAGTTCTTGACTTCCAGGCAGAAACCACACGCAGAAGGTGTAGTGAAATTACATAATTATCATCATTTTTATTCCGTCTCAATTCACCACGAACAATAGGTCTATTCAGTGGGATGGCAAAGTGTAAATATTACAGTGCGAAGACCACCTCCTTGAGGAGTTGCCCCAATGAAGAGGCTTCAAGTAAGGCTACATCCGTCGATAAAATCATTTCCGTATGAATGAGAGAAACAATGGATGCGAAATGCAATGAATGAATATTGTTAGGAGGCCATCTCGAGATTGTGGCAAGAGAGAAAGCTGCGGCCAAATGAAATTCACTATTTCACAGTGAGAGCAAATAGGCCAGAAAATGGCTGTAAATTATGCCAATTTCCATTCGATCCACCTCCAGTAGTGTGTAAATATTAAATACGCCTAATAATAATCCCATTTTTGCCTAAAGTCTCTCCCAATCGAGAAGATCTCAGCACAATTTATGCTCCATGAGCAACAGAATCAAGCCAGAGGCTGACACTTGAAGCATAACAACCTGACTTTTCCCGTGCGGATTTTTTTTTTAATTGATTCTGCATAGAGAATTTTTAATTATCGCAAATCCATGTGTAATTTACTATGAACTGCTTTTCTAGAAAACTATTACACTTCCTCTTCGGCTCTTTTGTATAACTTATCCATGCCACAGTTAATGATTCGTGAATGGAATTTAAAATAGGCGTGTTCGCTGGGAAATTTCACCGTAACGACAAGTAAATTTTGGGAATTATGACAGTCGCAAATTGATTATCAATGGCATAATGCTTTAATACTCCAGTTCACACATCTTCCAAAATGCAAGTTGGGAAATAATGCAATTTCTGATGCGGTATAAATTTCACCTGAGAAATTATACCAAATTTTGCTCTACTGAAGCATAAATTGCATGATGAGAAGTTCACATGAGAATTTATCTCTGAATATATGATATCGTATTCAGAAATTCAGTTCCACATGATTTTGCTGCTTGAATACTGATGTATTGATAAATACGTTCAAGTCTCACCACAGCAAAACAATCTTTGGCGTACAAATTGCCTCTTGAGACACTCTCTTTATACTCTCTCATGTCCATTTGCATTCAATTTATTAAGCGATATGAAGGCGATGGAAGAATGCCTTTCCATTCAACGCAGCATCATAAAATTTTATGATTCAGAAACACACTTTTCATCTCTGACACTTTATTATGATTATTATTACTGTTGTGTGCAGAACAATAAAACGGCCTAGAGTGCATTTGCCGAGGCAGAATTGCGAGGTGTTAATTAGAATATTGGCGGAGGCTGAAAAGTTGCATTCAGAAGTAGAAAAAGTAGAAAAAGTCCAGGTGAAAATTGAGATTTCTCTCATATCAATCGCATCTTGTGACCATAAGGAGGAATTTCTCACAGACAATTTTCTTAATTTGCCAATTAGCGACACTCTTTTGAGAGCACACGCGTGATTTATGGCGAAGGAGAGGCAATGGAAAGCAGATCAATAAGGCAATGATATTGCAGGTGTAGAAAAGATGCTTTCATTCATAAAATATTAATTTACCTTCTACCATAAACTGACCAGAGAGACACGGAGGAATCTTGTTCTCCAATATGTCACTGCCATTTAAGCATGTTGCATAAGAAAGTCCCAGCGTATCTTCATCCATTTGCCATGCACTCCACTTTGCGCACTGCAATACAAAGTGTACAGTTTGCACAAGACATTTGAAAGTGCTCCGGAGATGGAATTGTGAGAGTGAGATTGAATAAAGTACATCTTCATTCTCCAGCTTCATCCGTGAAATTCAGAAAATCATTCTTCATGGGATTGTAATTTATCTGGTCACATCTTAAAGAGCAACACGTTTTATTATTCAAGTTAGCATGAAATTAATCTCAAATTATACCATGTTCAACACAATTTATGTAACTGATAAGACCGCATGTCTAAATGGCAATTCAACGTCCGTCATATGCTTAAGAAGCCTTTTTCTATGCACAAAACTCACACTTTCACTTCACGCGAATGTTCTCTTCATATACACACTATTTATTTAACCCAAAGTGAAGTTTTGAGCACAAATAGACGCCTTTTCTTCGCGATCAATGAGAAAAATAAAGCGAAATTTGCTTAGAAATCAATTCCTGAACATAATTACTCTTGATATACTTGATAATAATAAAAAATACATGAAAAACAACCCCTTGAAAGACTTGTGAGGGTTAAAATTTCCAAGTAGTACTTTATATATCGAGAAACAACACCCACTGGAAAACCGCCCCATTCATCGTGAAGGGTTTATCAATTCAATGGAAACTTCTGTATTTTATGCAGCAAATCATGACATAAATTCACGAATAGAACTCAGAGTCTTCTTGACACTCTTCACACAACTATTTGTTCAAATTGACATGCTGGAAGACCCTTCGGGAATCAATATTCTACACATTTCACCCATTTTTCGTCCGGCTTTTTTTTCGTTCTTCAGCCACCGAATTGGAATTTAATGGATTTATTTTATTCCCAGATTTTATTGCTCATAGGAAATGTGTTGCGGGTGAAATATTTTTCTTTGTTGTATGAATAAAACAACAGCAAAAAGTCAGGCATTGGGAGAGAAAAGCTCTGTGGGCGGGAATAGGAAGGAATCGTGAAATTTACGATCGATTAACAAGCATAGACGGCAGAAATGTAAATCTAAGTAAATCCTCAATTGTGAGCCAATGTAAGAGAGGCATTAGCCGACAATGTTGCGAATAATTGCTCTGAACTGGCAGCAAATTGAACATCCAAGGCAAATATAATAAAATTGTCGCGATTTTGCTGATTGTGCGAAATTGCGATCGAAAGTGAAATCCAATGTCTGCTCCAAGGAATGATTTGCAATCACAATTAAGTCACATAAATTGATAATTAACGTCACATAATAATCCGCGATAATGTATTCGCCTGATGCTGGAGATTAGAAAAAAAAGCCAGAGTGATTACATATTGGCTTGAAAGCGCTGCTGCGAGCTTTTAAATACATGCGTGTGCAAAAAATGACGTCCCCCATAAAGTATGTGAATCACGGGCCTGCGATAGTCATAAATTGTCTGGGAAAATGTGTGTCAAATGGAATCGCGATCAGTGATTGTGCTGCGAAATTATTTATTAACTTAAATTGCACTCGACAGGGAATTAAGTATGAGAGAAAATGTCTCGCTTAGTGCAGCCTAATGATTTAATATGATACGTAATCTGTGCTTTTTCATGCGGACGTCTCTGTTTTTGCTAGGCGCGTGGCACAGAATGCCAGAGATTAGGAGATGGAGCCATTTTTCACCCGAAAAAAGGCCCAAAAAGTCCACCTACAGCTGGCGTGAGCCAGAAAGCGCTAAAGAGCATGGCGAGTTTAATTTGCCATCGCTTGTCTTTTTGCACTGTTACTTAACACTTTTGGGCGAGCTCGTCAATAGTCACTCACCAAAATGACCATCAAGGCTACAAATCACTCAAAATATCTCTTGTACGCCGTGTCATGTTCCAACATTTTCAGCCTATTAATTCTGCAGCGTATTCCATTGAAGCCCAATTCAAGTGACTTTTCAGAACAGCAGAAGAACAGGCAATAATCCTCAAACATTCACAATCAGCGATTGAGCATTAGCTCACGACTCATGTCGTGAGTTATGCAATGTTTTCATCCAATTTACTCATATATGAAATTTATTAAATTCGCGCACAGGTGACTCGGACATGATACGAATCTAGATCAGGTTTCTAGGCGGGATTCCGCGACTTCTTGCCGAATGGAAAATTTCAATTAATATGGAAAACTCATGCTCGACTCTCCCTCTCGCACTTCCAGATGCCAGGACGCCGAGGAGAACGGCACCTCGTCCACGGACAGCGCGGACGAGATTCCCGTGTGGGTGCGAGGCGAGCAGCGCTGGATCTCGGGCGTGACTGACCACACCACGGCCTCTGACCTCGTGGACGCGCTTCTGCACGACGAGGGCATCGCCAGCCGCGGCAAGGACTACGTGATCACGGAGCGCTGGCGCAGGGTGGAGCAAATCCTGGACAGCCGCACGCGAATCCTCAAGATTTGGTCAGCGTGGGGTGAGGCGCAGGCAGAGGTAATTTATGGGCAAACTTTGCAATAACCATTAAAAAGCGAGAGTATTAATGGGAGAAGCTGCAACATTGCAGAGACTCTGAAAGCCTCTTTTATTGCGAGAATTACGCAATTGTGGTCTCAACGCCCACAATCGGCTACCGGTGAAAGGGCAGTATTGTGAACAGTCGCACATTATAATTCACAAGGCAAATAACACGAAGGGTGCATCACCAGTACTCGTATCTAAATCATAACTCAGTGATTAGGAATGTCCTGGAAGGAAACGGAGAGAAATGCGTGAGCTGATTTCTTGCACGCAACATCTTAATCTGTAACTCAACAATGATGTATTCATTCATTGTTATAGTGTTAATTAATTATTTATTTAGCAGATAATGAATTAAAGTCTTTTGGCAACTACAAAATACACAACAATTTGGGGTTCCACGACAAAATTTTCCCAATTCAATGCAAATTTATTCAAAAAAAAGTAACGTTTTCGAGACATAAAACATTTATCTTTGAAGCGCTGAATTGATGTGAATTGTGATCGTCTAAAAAACGTTATAAAATTCTCAGATGTAAATACGATAGATGGTGATGAAGCTGACGATCTCTCAAGATTTGTCAACAAGTCCACGTGTCGAGCGCTTCGCGAATGAGCCATCGCTCTTCATTTTTATCTTATTTTCCCACCCCAGCGCAACTTGAGCGAGAAACTTTTTCTCTGGCTCTTCATCATCTCCCATAAATGACATAATAATCACGTGAGAGTCTCTCAATATATCTGATATAGCATCAAATTCACCTGCCGTGGCCCACATTTAATTAATTTCGCCTCACACCCATTAAATGAGTCTCCACCACATTAATTCTCATACTTTATTGGCAATTGCGTAAGTGATGGTGGTGCAAAATACGATAGAAGTTTTTTCTCCCTTCTTCTCTTGTCTCCCCATTAAATATCAAGAAGCGATAATAAGACATAAAGTGCTCTTGACCGCATAAAATTCTCTCTTATCTCACCACCATTAGGCGTTTGTGAGATGTTGGTACATGAAGAAAGTAAAAAAGGCAGATGCGATGGCAAAATTAATACATTATGGAGCCTTTATCGCTCGCGCAAGATCTCCAATATTGCGTCTCTGCACAATTGAGTGTCAGGGAGAATTTTCAGAAATCGCTTGTTTTATCGACACGTCGCAATTTTCCTCAAATTAGCCAAAAAATCCCATCGATTGAGCTGATTGTGTCGAAAGAGTCTCAATTTGTCATATTTGCTCATCGATTGAACACTCTAAGAAGCCCTTGAGAAGACTCTTGAGAGCTTGAGAGTTTTATTGGCCAAATCCCAACAATTCGCATTGGTGTAAAATATTCACAACTCTCGTTAAGCACACTTATAGTGGAAAAGTTTGGTGTGTGTTTTGAGTTTGCTGTAAAATTAGTGATGGGCGTGATCACAATTGACACACGGCGCGGGAAATACATGAAATTTTATCTGAATGAGCCCTTTTTACTGCCCCGCGAAATTCACACGATAAACAGCTGAGGAGTTAATGGCACAATAAAATATTTTACGCTTCCTGATGGATATAGATTATTTAATATTTTTTACGACGCCACCCCACTCGCAAATTCCTGCGGGTGGCAGATTTATGTGCGTTTCCACTATAAATTCACCACCGGCGAGAAGTCACAGTGTATGCAAAGCAGGGGATGGTTTAAATTGCGAGGAATTATGTTGGATTTCGGGCCCCCAAGAAGTGGATGGCTTCGTGGAGGAATTGGCTGTAATTTATTTGGGGGCAAAAATTTCTATATCTCACTTAGACAAGGCAACACGAAGTCTGCGAAACGAGGAAGTGTGCCTCTAAGGCTTCTGCTGTGGCGCAGAGCAATTAAGAGGAGCAATTTGGGATTGATTGTTTTATCAGATAAAACCACAACGGAAAACCGCACACAGTATACACGACGTCAAACCTCTAAATTACTCCTGTTATGCTCTTGAAAATATTTGCACATATTCATCAGGCTATTTTGTATTCACGCACATGAATTTTCCGCCCTTGGTTGTGCACTCAAATTCAAATGTGCAGCGATGAAGTGGATATTGCCAGTAATATCCTGGATTACGAATCACAATTCCATGCACAATAAAATGCGCATAACCATATTTTAATGCTCAAACTTGTTGAGCGCGACAGAGAAAAGCCTCTTTAGTTGACACTTTTGAGGAAATGGCTGAAAGTGCATCACTATTATCCACATTTCCACAGGCTCTAAAGGTCATCGCGAGGCATCCAATTTGTCCGTATTACGTTTGCAGTGCAAGTGAATGGCTTATGCAGATGTGGTTCACCGTAAAAAGTGATTAATAAATGCTAGAGTCGAGGCGAATCACGGCGCTTCAAAAAACTCACTCTCAAATCAGCGCCGACATTCGTGATTCGGGCTCGCAAATTCGCTCTCTGCCTTGTCGCATTGCCCCATTGTAGACGGCATATGTTCTGCACAGTCTCGATTGCACGCTTTACATCGTCATGTACTGGCTCTGTCCACATATGCTGGGATAGTATGTTGCGCCGCACTTCGGCTGCGATTAATTTTATTAGCCCACTTTATGTGCACATTTCATGTACTACACTGTGCGCTCCTCCGCCGTTTGAAGTGAGGCAGTGCCTAAAGGGCACTTGTATCCAGCACACATGTCAGATGACCTCACCCACTCCAATCGCCCGCCTCATCGTTTAGCCCACAACATCCCGCGCGTCTCGCCAGAAGAATATTGCATTTCTCGTCACTCCTTCTCCACACCGCTGTGAAAAATCACAGAAGAAAGGAGTCAAAAGCTGAGTTGATTTTCCAGCAAATCGAGCAAATCATAAATCAAAAAGTGCTGTTTTTTCCAATCGATGATTTTTGATCTATTTTCATCTCAACAATCTTAATATAAATTGCCGGAATTGATCATTTCTTCTTCTAAATCAACGCTTATGATCAAGCAAAACTGCCGATACGCACTGAACAGATGTGTTGATTTTCTGCAAATAAACATGGGAAAATTCACTTTAACCTTAAGTGATGGATAACAATTAAATTTGCAGCATCTCGCCATCAATTCTGTGGGCAAATTGATTGCGAAACATTTCACCAGACTCTATCTCGCTGTCTAAATGTCATTTTTCATATAAATTACCCCCGATCCACTCGCAAACCGTCTTATTTCCCTTTCTGCGATGCTCACCAGATTGTTATGCAAGAGAGCGACACGGATAAAGGTGACGGGGTCAGAGAAGAGATTCTCTTCGCCACTGACACACATATACAAAGTCGCTCTCTCTCCACTTGCCCATGCTATCAAAGGTGCTAATTAATCAGCAGGTGAGGAGCAACTTTGGCTTCCTGAGGCGAAATCAATCACGGAAGAGCCAGAAATTGTTTGATTTGTGAGCATTGCTCAAATTTTCCACCCATTGTAAATTCATGACTTTAATAGCCGCCATAAAGTGTGCTAAACGTCTATTGATCATTGTATTTCTCCCGAGGCATTTCTTCCCTGAGAACTGAATACAATTGAGCCGAAGTTTCCCCGCAACATTCATCATAACATCAATAGACTGTCCGTTTGCCACCCCTTTTTTGCCAACATAACGCATTATGACTATTTACATAAAAGGCCTGTTTTCCATAATATGAAAAATTAATGCAAATTGTATGGGATTGTGTTTGATTGTATAACACTCGCGCGATTGTATTTCGCGTTGATAGAAATCATAAGCCATCCGTTTGTACTTTATTTACTGCCACTAAGGTTTCGACTGTTGCATAATCGAGTTGTTCCTGACAACAAATTATTCTTCGCGTCTCTGTATTGGATGGCCTTTTTCCCCGCGCACCATTGTGCAAAATTCAATCTCCAGCTGGGAAAGCACGGACAAACCAATTGGCAGTAATTGAAGTCAAAAATGTTTGAATTGGCAAGAGATTGGCAAAAAAAACTGTATCCATTTCAATCTATTTGCGTTTTCCATTCCGATGCAGTGCAGCACGGAGGAAGACACACTTTTCGTATTGACAATTTTCCGTATAAAATAATATTTGTACGGCAGCAAATTACATATCGTAGCGTGAGCAGCGCACAAGAGCAATTTGTAGATGCAATCGACACTTTATGAGAAATTAATTAGGTCTCTCTCCCTGCAGGTGAAGCTGACGCTGCGACGCGTGGAGCGGCACCAGCGGCGCAGTCCCAGCGTGGAGAACTGCGACAGCGGCCGCGGGAGTCCCACAGGAAGCGCCATCGTGCGCAGGAGGCGCCACAGGGCGGCCAAGTCCACAGCGGCATGGATCACGCACGCCCAGACGCCACATCCGCGCACGCAGCGCGCCACCATCGAGCGCCTCATGAAACTCATCCTGGAGCAGGGCGAGACCATCCAGCATCAGCTATCGCGGCTCAGGTGAGTGTGCCACCCTCGAGAGTCCCAGCACGTGTGTATTAATGGCGCGTGTTGAACTACAGACATCCTATCTGCAGGGAGCGAGAGCTGGAGATCTCCTACATTGAGGAGGAGCGCCACAGGATCCGCGAGCGCGAGCACGGGAAGAACTACCTGCTGGAGACGTACCTCAACGGTCTGCACGAGGCGGACGACAAGGAAGTCACCACGGGGAACAGCGACTCTGGCGTCCACACAGAAGACACAACATCTCCGGCGGGCATCTCCCCAATCCTCGACGATCAGGAGGAGTCTGGCCAGCTGGAGGAAGCCGGTGGCAGCATGAAGCGCAAGAGCAGATCGCAGAGGGAGACGATGCTGTTGCGCGAGCACGAGACGGCAAAGGAGTTCAGCGCAGCAGCGGAGAAGAACAAGGAAGCACCATCCAAAGAGCCCAGCGAAGTTCCCGACGACGTCACGGCGGAAATAGATCTCCTGGAGAAGATGTACGTGCTCAACAAGCACTTGCAGCGCGAGGAGGAGCTCGTGGTGCGACTCAGCGCCAAAGTGAAGCGGTACGAGTCGGAGAATCCAGCACTCAGCGAACACCAAATCATGGAGGCTCTGGAGAGAGTGAACGAGGAAATTGCCCAGAAGAATTCGGCGCTCGAGGCCACAGATCGCGAACTGGAGGCGTCGATGAGTGCCTTGCAGGACAAATCGCAGGAACTGCAGGACATCCATGAGCAGCTGAAGGCAGCAGAAGTTGAGAGTCAAGGGCTGGAGGAGGTGCGCGCTATCCCAGAGAATAGCCTCAATCTCAGTCGCGAGTACCTGGCGGAGAACATCTACAACATCAGCAAGATCATCCTGAAGAGCAACGCGAAGGACGACGTGGGCAACTACATCCGCCACACGCCCGAGAGAGACGTCCTGCGGCCTCCGATTCCCGTGGATCACATCCCTAAGGCGCCCGTGCACTTCACGACGGAAGTGCAGGTGCACCAGGCTGCAGCGAGTCCTCTGCCGCCGCAGCTTCCGCCGCCGCAGTTCATAGACTTCACCACGCTGGACCTCATCGCGTCCATGAACAGGATGCACCAGTGCAGCCAGAGGAACATCAACAGCGTCGCCACGGCGGGCAAGATTGCGCACAAGAAGATGATTGGCACCGAGGCGGACTCGAACTCAGACACAGGACTCTCTTCCCTGGGCGAGGACATGACGCAACTGGGCACTCTTGTCTGAGACTCCGCCGAAGCACGCCCTTTCCCTGAACCTAAGATGACCAAGGAAGAAAACACCGACACCAAGAAGTACACCCGAAAATGTGAAAGTAATTTTATACGCAATAAATACATGATAATTGAAGTTAATCCCCGGCTTTAATCGCATTAGTTCCATTTCATTCGGAATTATACCGTCAATTTCCCTCTTTTACCATTCGCTCTTGGGAAATTCCTTCAAATGGAGACTTGTAAAAAAAAAACAAAAATCAATTCCAAGTAGAAGAAAAGCATGCGTGGGCGTGGCATTCAAGGGGGCGGAGCTAATCTTGAATTAAATGAGCTTTTAGCACTTCGAAAGTTAAAGTTTATTTCTTTCTTGGAGCAAAATACACACAAATTTTCTTGCACTCACCAAATCTTGAGTGACTACGCCACTGCTTGAGTTTTATCATCCCTACAAGTGGCACAGGGAATTCCAAATAAACTGCTGCTCTCAAGTGCACTTTCCTAACAAGAAAGTCAAACAGCGCTGCTTTAAGTTGTGTGAGAATCTCTCGTGTTGCACGCATTTGCTTGAGCCAAAGTAATAAAACTCACCTTTTGGTTTACGATTCTCTGGCAAGTTTGCCTGGAGTCTAACAGGATGGGCAGGAACTGGAGAGCTCGTAAAAGCGACCCAGGCGAGCAGGAAGATGAGTCAACAAGCCAATAGAGTGTGGAGGCGCAAGAATTTCTCAGGTGAGAATGTAACAATAAATGCCTTTTTATTGGAATTTTCCTCTTATGAAAAGTATACAAAGATTCTCAACTCTGTTTCAGTTTTCTTTTTCCTGTGAATCTGTTAAAGAAATTTCACTGAGCCCTAATTTTGACACACTCAAGAATACCATTATAATAATGCTTTGAGCATTTATACAATATTTGCCACATGTGTTAAATTCATTGGATATTTCATATCAAAAAATTCCTCCGAAGCTGAGTTCTCTCGAGAGCCTCTTGCTAATTTCACTTTGGATCGATTCAAGTGCTGTGTTGCGGTGTTTTCTGAAGAAATAAAGGATAAGAGAATGTGTGTGTGCGCGAGTGAAAAAAAGGAGCAAACAAGGATGAAAAGCCCACCCAAAGGCAACTCAGCAAACAATCAATTGCTTATTTCGGTGCCGTCAGAACGGTGTTGATCGCCTTGGCCACATATTCCACATTCTTCTCATTCAGTCCGCACATCGAGATGCGCCCAGACTTGAGCAGGTAAATGTGAAACTCCTCCACGAGCCTCTTCGACTGCTCCTCATTCAGTCCCGTGTAGGAGAACATGCCGATCTGCTCGATGATGTGCTTCCACGTGCCCGGCGTCTTCAGCGCGACCAAGTGATCATACAGCATTTTGCGCATCTGAATGATTCGCGATGACATCGCCTTGATGCACGTCATCCACTCCGCTCGCAGCGCCGGATCGCTGAGAATCGTGCCGACAATGCGGCTGCCATACGCCGGCGGGTTCGAGTACATGCCGCGAATCAGGAGTGACACTTGAGACACAACTGCCGGCAGCTTGGCAGTCCCGTTGAGGACTATCGTCAGGTTTCCGATGCGCTCAGCTGCAAGAATTGCCCTCAATTACACAGCACTCTGCGCCGAAAGGCCTCAAATACTCACAGTAGAGCCCGAAGTTCTTGGCGAAACTCTGCGAGCACAGCATCTCGAAGCCACGCGACACGAAGTAGCGCACGGCGAAAGCGTCCTTGATCGGATCTCCGCTGGCGAATCCCTGATACGCCGAGTCGAAGAACGGGAAGAGCTTCTTCGCCTCGCAAACATCGGCAATTTTCTTCCACTGTTCCTGCGTCGGATCGCATCCCGTCGGATTGTGCGCGCAAGCGTGCAAGATAATCACCGATCCTTCCGGCGCAGCCTCAAGATCGGCGATCATGCCCTCGAAGTTGATCCCTCGGATGTTCGGGTCCCAATATCTGTACGTCTTGGCGTGCGTGAAGCCGGCATACGTGAAAACTTTGTTGTGATTCTCTGCAAGTGAGAAAGTCAGTGAGAAACATCACTAAAATGCTATAATTAGGTTGAAAAATACAGTATCACTTCTCAAGATCACTTCATGTGAGTTTCATTGAAAAAGTGAGTGTGAAAACTAAAGACAAACACTTTAATTTGCATACTTCGCGTCAGACTTAATTAAATTATAAAGAGGCCCAATTAATAAATACCTGTTTTATTTACTTGCCAATCGCTAAGTGATCTTGTTTGTGAGAAATATGCCTAAATACTAATTAATTTCTCAAATCAGCCGCAATGTGTGAAATCTCATGCACTGTATTTCACCCGAAATTGCTTCACTTCACCTACTTGCAAAATTACGACCGTAATAATCGATGAATATAATATATTTTCAATGCAATAACTATAAAATGTCAATCTCATACTTCTTATTAATGGCTTGAAATTGATTCTAATCTCAATACGTTAGGATGACATTGCTAAATTGATAACTATTTAATTATTCTTTATAATAATATCATATTTCTACTTCTATTTGTGTGGAAATATGCAAATAAACCCATCTTAATTGAACTTAAATGCTTCTTATATTCATTTTTATGATAGTCACGCAATTTCACAGTTTACACTTGTTTTAAAGTGATAAATATTGTGAACCTTCGCAGTAAAATATATCATAATCACCTCGTAACAGTTTGCTATCTTTTATGTCTCATTCTTCGAGTTTTTAGATAGCATAATTTTACATCTTATTCTAAAGTCCAGACAGTAAGATTTCTGTTTCATTTCTGGATGTCTAGATTTCCAGATTAATCCACAGTTAATCCCTCAATTTCTTACCCCACGTCGGAGTAGAGACATAGAATGTCGTCCGGTGCAGGATGCGAGCCAGGAATTCCGCGCCGAGACGAAGAGCTCCAGTGCCGGAGAGAGTTTGACAGCCGAAGGCGCGCTTCTCCTTGATTGCCGGCGAATCCTCGCCGAGCAGCAGCTCCACGGCGGCCTTTGTGAACACCTCATTTCCCGTCACAGTGATGTATTCATGATTCAGTGCCTCGTTGCATGCGATCTGTGACTCCGTCCGCCGCACCACCGGCAACACCCATGGCTTTCCCTCGTCCGTGCGATAAGCTGCGAAATTAATTTCACTATCATTCACTCTCCTAAATCAGGTACAATTGCGGGCAGAAGACATTGCAGAGCAATCCAGATTCTTATCGTGGCTGAGAAAGCCATCTTTGGGAGAGAGTGAGCCGATTGTAAATAACACTTGGGAAATTGGACTTCAATTCGCAATTGAGTGATAGACAAATATCAGTGGCGAGATAAGAAATACCATGGAAATGTGTCCTGCACTCTGTTGAAATCTCGCGCTATCTCGATTATATTCTCATTCATACCTTCAAGGGGACTTAAAGCGGATTTTCATCCATTCAACAACAATATTCTTTCAAAGCTCATTTCATTTCAACTTGAATTTGTTTTCCACGCAATATTCCCATCGTATCAATCTTATCACTTAAAACACACACTGTGTGTCGGAATCATAAAACGACTGTTTTCGCACATTTCCACTTCTCTCATGATGGATTATCAGCTGAACAACAAAATCATTTTCCACTGCGAGGGGACAAAAGATCATCTCTCTAGGGGAAAATGGATTTAGCAGGAAATTAAATTTCACACAACTTTTTCCCGCTGCTCTCTTTCACGCCCCCAAGCAACAACGCAAAGACGCAAAGTGCAATTAATATCGCCATTGTGGTGTCATTGCGTTATTGAATTTCATGGCACGAAGTGTGAAAATGCGATGATGATAAAAATTCTCCCATTTTATGTGGAATATGTGCGAAAATTGCAAATTAATCCACAAATGATTCCCACCCTTGGAAAACAATTAAACTAATCTCCAAATATCCCCCCGAAGCGGGAGACACACAGTGGATTTATGCAAAAGACGTGTCACTGTTGAGGCCGGTCAGAATTCCATCTCAATTTCGTTCTTCGCCCACGAGGATGATAAATTGAGGTGAAGCCATTGACAGAGACGGTCAAGGAGCCGTTCGGGGCGGAAAGCGCTCAAGTTATTGGGAGCAGATGGGCTCCAATGTGGGGATAATTGCCAAGGAAAGTTTCCCCAATTTAGTGCCACTGTGGCGGTTATTCTTGCGGCAACACTTTCCCCCGAGGTCAGCCGGCAGTGGAGTGGGGCGACGCCCCACGAAGAGACTCCAGATGCTTTGGAAACTCGAGCAAGGGTGAGTTTATTAGCACGGGAAGCGCAATAAAGATGGCACTTTAAAGAATTTCATTATTACGACATTCCAGCGTGTGAGTAAAATTAATTAATTAATTCTTCTACGCTCCGCCTCCTTGAAAGCCCCGCCCACAATTATTCTTTGCCTAAATCAATTAAAAAAAATCTACCTGTTTGACTTTAAACTACAGGGTTAGAGAAAAGTCTAATCTTTCAATGATTTAATGAAGAAAAATCAGGGAAATTTTTCTTTGGGCTGAAAATATTGAAGCCATTCTTGGATAAATTATTTTAAAGAAGAATCTTAAACCTCAAAATCATTAAGATTTATGCTTTGAATCTCAAAATCACGTAAAAAAAATCAATTGTTTTGGAGAGCAAATTGTAGTCACGCATCTTGACTGACACACTCTGTGGCGCGGCTAAAGCTGCGAAATGAATAAATGATAGAAATACCGTGGAAACGTTACGAAATTATCAATCTCCCACTATTGACAGTGCCTTTTACCATGCCTCAGTGAACTCGCCAGATTTCTCCCCATCCATCCAGCCAGATAAGACAAACATCCTCTCAAGTCTGGGCCAAATTTCCAGAAGAGCAAAATTGTTTCATGGATTTGACCTTCGATTCGACCTCTTCACCCTAACCCCAAAAAGGCCGCCTGACACCCTTGACTCCAGCCCGCAATCACCGGGTGAATGTGTGAACCTGGGAGCAGCGGAACTCACCTCCGACCCCGAGATTGACCTTCTTCCCGTAGGAATCCTCGTTGAACGCCTTCGTCAGAGCAAACACCTCAATTGGGGGCCCCTGTTCCACAACATCAAACACACTTGCCATCGCGACGACACGTACACAACTGCTCACGCTCAGCAACTGAGGAGATTTAGGAGGTCCAGAGAAGCGTTGTACGCCGATAAGAACAAAAAATCACCCAAAACTCTGGCTTCACACGCTTAATTTTACACCCAACAAAAAACCGCACTCGCGACCCAAAAAAAGTGTGCAAATTTGCGCCTTTTCGACGACACGAGCGCCGATGCGGTGAGCATTGGCACTAGACGACCGTCAAAAAGTGGTCGAAAGTTTTTCCTTCACAAAGAAAGTGATTTTCTTACTGAGATTTCGGGAAAATAGTGGTGTTTTGTGGGTAAGAGTAGTGAAAAGTGATTGAACAAGTGATATGGGTGCTGTACTTGGATTGTGCTCAGCGGCCCAGGTGAGAAATCAACGGGAACTGCGAGTTTTGGAAAGAGACGCAATTTTCCCCTTCCATCTTTGTTTTTCCTCGAAGTCCTTCAATTTCCACACTCTCTCTTTGCTTTTGCCCAACTTTGGCTAATGTTACAGTTAATTTAATTACCCGAATCATGTGGATCAGTGGGGAATTTGAGAAATCACGGCGATGAGTCATGCTTAACAATTAACAATGAGAAATCTGAGATTCGCGATCGCTTGTCTTCCTGCAGATGGCCTGCTGCTGCACTGGAACTGCGGTGTCGCTGTGCTGCAATGCCTGTCCGTCTTGCAAGAACTCCACATCCTCGCGGCTGATGTACGCCGTGATGCTGCTCTTCGGCGCCATCCTGGGCGCCATCGCGCTGGCTCCAGGACTGCAGGACACTCTCCGGAAGGTGCCGTTCTGCGCCAATTCCACCTCTACGGCGTCCATAGTGCTGCCCTCGGCGTACTCCTCCATCGACTGCAGCTCCGCCGTGGGCTACTTGGCTGTCTACCGCATCTGCTTTGCGCTGGTGTGCTTCTTCTTCCTCATGGCGGTGATGATGCTGGGCGTGCGCTCGTCCCAGGACCCGCGGGCGCCCATCCAGAACGGCTTCTGGGGCATTAAATTCCTGATCGTCATCGGGATCGCCATCGGCGCATTCTTCATACCAGAAGGCAGCTTTGGCTACACTTGGATGTGGATCGGGCTCATTGGCGGGCTGGCCTTCATCCTGGTGCAGTTGGTGCTGATCGTGGATTTTGCCCACACCTGGGCAGAGTCTTGGGTCTGTGAGTATCTTCTGTCGCTCCCCTGAAAGACCCCAAAGTCACTGACTTTCCCTCTCCGCAGCTAACTACGAGGAGAACGAGTCTCGCGGATGGTATTGCGCTCTGCTCTCCGCCACTGGGATTCAGTACATCCTGGCCATCACGGGAATAGTCATGCTCTTCATCTACTACACCGTGGCTCACGATTGTGCGCTCAACAAGTTCTTTATCTCCATCAACTTGATCCTGTGCGTCATCGTGAGCGTGGTTTCGGTTCTGCCAGCTGTTCAGGAGAGACTGCCCAAGTCTGGACTTCTGCAGAGCGCCATGGTTACGCTCTACACCATCTACCTCACCTGGTCCGCAGTGGCCAACAATCCCGGTAAGTGAGATTCAGTGGGAAGCAAATTAGACACTAAAATTGCTAAACAACTGTGCGAGAAGAGATTTGAAGAAAAACCTTCGTATAAAGCAGGGAATTTCGATATGAAAACTTGCGGGGAAAATAATTAGTCAGTGAATTTATTAGACAAAAAGGCATCTTCACATGAAAGTCGACCAATAGACGATGTTGAGGATGCAAAAGCAGAATGGGAAGAAGAATCTCGAGAACTTGTCGATGTAAATGGCAGTTTCGCGTCCGTAGCAAAAGGTTTCGTACTGTGGCAAAGTCATGCTGGGTCGGGGTTTTCCGTTCTGTGGAGGAAAAGGGTCAAGATTAGAGGATTCTGCCGTGGAGTGCAGCACTGAGAATACCTTGTACTCTTCCATGTCCGTGAGATCTTCGTCCGAGTAGCCCTTCATGGCCTTCGTGGCGATTGGGCCCATGTAGTTGTTGACCACGGCGAACTGCATGAGCGAGAGGAAGACGAAGACGGAGCACGAGGACATCCACACGTCGATGGCTTTCACGTACGACACGGGCGGAAGCGATTGCTGCGACTGCGTGTTCTGTGTCGCCAGAGTGAGGAGACTCGTGACGCCGAGCGTGACGCGCGCGGGAATGGCTTCTGGCTTGATCCAGAAGGAGATCCAGGACATGACCACGATCAGCGCTGAGGGGATGTAGGTGTGGAAGAGGTGGTAGCCGAGGCGCCGGCGCAGGTTGAAGACGACCGCCAGGCAGGTGAAGTTCCCAGTCGAGTACTCAATGGTGCAGTCTGTGGTGTAGTTTTGCGCAATGTCCAGCTGAGGAAGCTCAATCTCTGAGTTGACGACGAGTGGATCTGTCATGTTCCAAATGAAGACAAGATCCTGGACAGTGTGAGACACTGGAAAGAGGGTGAAATAGATTCTGGCGATGAATTTAGCATCTTAGAAAGTTATTACTCACAGCTCTCGATCATCATGGAGCAGATCTGCGTGTCGTGCGGGTAGGATTCGAATTTCATGGCACAGGAGAGGACGAGCGTGAGCTTGGACATGTACAGCAGCGTCTTGTCGTGATAGAGCCACAAGTAGTGATTGGGGATGCTCATTTCGTGGAAAGTGACCTTCTTGGCGTTCTTGAAGAAGCAATCTGGACGCCAGATGCTCTGCAGCCAGTCCACATCGAGGATTCTGTACTCTTCGCTCATGTTCTCCGGCAATCGCAGTCTGGGATCTCGCCAGCTCTGTGCCAGGAAGATGTCCGTGACGTACGTCTTGAAGAAAGAAGAGGGAAATGAGGAGAGTTTGTCAAAATTTCAGGAGATTCACATCACCATTGATTCCTCGTTGATTGAGTCCAGTGAGAGGACAGTCACGTGGAAGTAGACCACAGTTGGCTGTCCGAGAAGCTTCGGGGCGCGATTCTTGTCATACTGCTTTATCCGCACGGGCAGAATGTCCGGAAGAGAGAGACTGGAGTCGTAATTGGACACCAATTCTGCGCTCTCTGTGTTGTTGCTGGACAGAAATTGGGACGTTAGAAAAGGGATTTCTCTAGCACGCGAGAGGAAGAGTTACCGGAAGAGATGTGATGCAATCACTGTGTGGATTGCAGAAGTGAGGCAAAGAATTTCTACGAGAGACACTGAAACCATTTTATGCGCGAGTAGAGACTCTTCCGCGAGCGCTGGGAAAGGTAACTGGCACGGAATCGGAATGAGAAGGCATTTGAAGCCGTTGAGTGTGCTTAGAATGTCTCGACAGGGCTTCATGACAATCAATTTATCGATCTCTTGAGCGTTGCTGAAATTCCAGGGGCATTTAGAGTTCATATATTTGTGTTGCCTTTGAATATATGAGACGAGTTGTGTACCTCAAGTTCTCAATTGAATGCCCCTGATTTTAATCCCTTGAATGAAATTCTCACGGTCTTTTGCAGATCGCGTGTGCAATCCCGGCTTCTTGGGCATCGTCGGTGAGCACAGCAACAAAGTGACGTTCGACAAGACCAGCATCATCGGATTGGTGATCTGGATGTTCTGCGTTCTCTATTCTTCTCTGCGTTCTGCCTCTCAAGTCGCCAGAGTGGCGAATCCCGATCCAGAGAAGCAAGGTAAGTTGTCATCTTCATCTTTCATTTGGGAACTGACAAACTTCCTCATTAACTTTCCTCTTCCGTGAGTGACTAAATCCACTAACATTAAGACAAAAATCTGTGCCGAGGTGATGGAAAATGTGCTTTCTGGGGTGTTTTATTATGTGGTGCGGAGGACCAAAATCTCTCTCTTTCTCTTCTTTCCCACCTCTTTCTTCCCTCCTCTGATGCAATTCAGTATTAACAGCCACTCTGAATGAAGATGACAGCAAGCCAGCCACTGCTGGGGATGATGATGGCAAGGTGTGGGACAACGAGGAGTCCAGCGTCGTCTACTCCTGGTCGCTCTTCCACGTCGTCTTCGCCACGGCCACGCTGTACGTCATGATGACGCTCACCAACTGGTATCAGTGAGTATCTGAATGCTGAAGAGTGGCTCGAAGAGGTCCTAAATGTGCGCTCTTGCAGGCCCAACTCCTCGCTGGAGACCATGAACGCCAACGCGGCGTCGATGTGGGTGAAGATCGTGTCCAGCTGGCTCTGCCTCGGACTCTACGCCTGGAGTCTCGTGGCGCCAATCGTGCTCGCCGACCGAGACTTCGGCGTCTAACTTCATACATGCATTTCCTCCGTGGTCGCTTCAAGTCTTATACCTTCCTAATCTCGTGTCTGCGGATGGAGAACGTAGTGTTTTAGTTGTGCATCAGAGTTTTCATGTGATCTGGGCAGCGGCCAGTTGCCAAACAATCCCAAGTATAAGATAATCATTCAATTTACTCGTGTATTTGTCTCCTGAAATAAATAGAGTAGCAAGTAAAGTCTAAGGTTTCTTGCGCAACACCAAAATGCGCTGGATCGTGTTCTTCTTGCCCAGAATCTCCATCATCTCCGCCACGCCAGGACCTTCCTTCAAGCCACTGAGAAGCGCCCGGAGCGAGCCCATGAAGTTGCTGAATGTGAGATTGTTCTTCGACGAGAAGTCCTTCAGCAGGCTCTGCAGGTTGTCCCGCGTGAAGTTCTCACTCTCCAGCTTCTCGATGAGCTCATCCAGGATTTGTGGCGTCAATTCGGACGCCTTGAGCTGCGGCACGATCCACAGGAAGGCCAGTTTGCCCTCCACGAGTTCGTTGAGGCTCGTCAATCGATTGGAAGCCCACTTGAGGACAGTCTGGATGTGTTCATCGCTGAGATCCAGCCTGTGATTCGGATAGGCTTCCTGGATCATGCGGCGCAGTTCGCCGACGAGCAGATCGCACTTCTGTGGATCCGACACGTGATTCTGAACTTCAAGGCGGTTCAGTTCAGCAAGATTATCGGGATTGAGGCGGGAAGAGTGTGAATTCACTCTTGTTATATCGAACTTTTGGACGAGATCCCCGAGCTGATAGATTCGGAGGCGATCTGAAGGGTTTATGGCGAATCCTCCGCCCGCCTGGATGATATAGTTGATGAGGGCAGTGGGCAGAATTCCCTGCTTCCGATAGTAATCCATCTGAATGTCGCCCTGGCGCTTGCTCAGCTTTGATCCGTCGGCATTCATGATCAGCGGCAAGTGACCGAAGACAGGAGGCGTCCAGCCGAAAGCCCTGGAACGAAGGGAATCCAGAATCTCACAATTGAACAATAAATCCCTTAAACTCACCTGTAGAGCAGGAGATGCTTGGTCGTAGAAACTTGCCACTCGACTCCTCGCAGGACGTGCGTGATTTCCATGAGATGATCATCCACCACGTTGGCGAAGTGATACGTGGGGAAGCCGTCGGACTTGACAATCACCGGATCACCCTCATTTAGAGCCACATTGTAGGAAAGATCTCCATAAACCATGTCCCGGAACGCCTCGTGGAACTCCTTGAGCTTGAATCTGATGCAGAAAGTGTCCTTTGCCGCGAGTTTCTCGGCAATCTGGCCCGGAGTCAGGTGGCGACAGCGATTGTCGTACTTGGGCACCTGGCGGACGCGCAGGGCTTCCTTCCGGAGCAGCTCCAGACGCCTCTCCGTGCAGAAGCAGTAGTACGCACTGCCGTTGTCCAGGAGTTTCTTCACTTCCCGGTGGTAGATTTCCAGGCGCTGACTCTGGATATATGGCCCGTGAGATGAGGATGTGAGAGGACTCTCGTCAGGAGTCAATCCTGCCCACTGGAGATCCTGAAGCAGTCTCTCAGTTGCGCCCTGAACAATTCGGCTCTGATCGGTGTCCTCAATCCGCATGATAAACTTCCCTTGGTGCACCTTGGCAAAGAGGTAATTGTACAGCGCCGTCCGCAGACCGCCCAAGTGCAGGAATCCTGGAATGTCAGGATCTGTAGATTCTGGGAAATATCTTTGTTTTGGGATTTCTCACTAACCTGTCGGACTCGGCGCAAATCGCACTCTCACTTCTTGAGCGGAGTGACACTGTCGGACAATACATCTAAAGTATGGCTGCAAGGGAACTCCACGAAGTAAACTCTTCAGGATAGTCATCATGTTCGGGAAATTCGCATTTCATCACAATAAATTTACGCACAATATTTTCATTTCACCGCACTGGTAGCATATGCTGCATGCCTCTTGTGGTCGTCGCATGACATTCGACGAGTGTCTGGTGGATCTGCCGCCCGAGGCGCTGGCGGCGTTTTACTGCTTTGGTGTTTGTAAACACGAAAAAACACAAAGAAAACGTCAAAATCAGTTGATTCTGTGTTTGGAAATCGATCGCAGGAAAGAGAAAGTTTGTGCAAGACAAAGAGATGAATTTCCTACCCCAAACCTGGTCGGGATATCTGAAGAAGGAGGGAGCGAGGCAGGAGGATGAGTCCAGCGAGGTGTCCTGGCCGTCTTTGGGCGAGAAGGAGCAGTGCGACGAGGGGGGAATGGAGTCGTCCTTGAGAGCGATGAAGTTGGAGGATTTGGAGCTGGACACGGTGATCAGGAGTCTGGAGAGGGACCCTGTGCGCGTGGACGTGAAGCTGGAGAGTGACACGGACGAGGAGCGCGAGGGGAGCAGCGGACCCAGCAAGGTCACGGAGGAAATCCGGACGGAGCGTCGCCAGCGCAGGAGACAGGCGAAGCAGCTCAAGAGGGACGAGAAGATCCTGGCGGAGCGCCGGGAGTCCAAGTACAAGCAAGTGCAGCTGATCAGGCAGAGTGACCTTGAGCGGTACAAGGATTGCATCAAGGTAAAAAGTGTGGCGAATTGGCGCCAGGAAGTGTGCATTCTATTGGTGGTGTTTTTCGCAGGACACGGCGGCCCGCGATCGGCCGTCGTGGTTCAGCCGAGGCACCAAGGATGCCACGTTCTCCTTGGAGGCCTTCATGGCGGAGAAGCCCAAGTTCCTGACCTGCCCCAAAACCACTGTCAGCATTCCAGGCGAGATCGTTCGCCACCGCGGCAAGAAGCAGGAGTTCCCCAAGCCAAAGCCCCGCACCATGGCCAAGCGGCGCATCCTGGAGATCCGGCAGGAGCGCGCCAAGGAGGAGGCCAAGCTCAGCACGCAATATCCGCACAGCAGACGCTATCGCGAGTACTGTGATCACTTCACCGAGGAGGCGCTCTGCAGTCGCGTGGAGTCCATCCTGCAGGACCTGTTCCGCTTCCAGGACAGGGCGTTCCACCGCAGCGAGATCAAGGCGCGCGCCAAGCGCCGCTACGTCGTGGGCTTCAAGGAGGCCAATCGGATGCTGGACGTGAAGAAGGTGAGATCATATGGGCGTGTGTTTATGCGATCAGCTGTTCAGCGCGCGATGACCTTGCGCGCGCTTATCGCGACGCTGGGGGAAGTTTACAGACCTCTCTCGAGCGCGCTGCTTTGCCTATCACGCGCAATCCCACCGCGAGCGATTCGCGGAGCGTGACCTTCGCCTAAGAGTCCCATTCAGGCGATTTCCACCTTATCTTGGCGCGAAATTAGCGCTCACACAAGCATATATTGGCGAGTGTGATGAAATTCAGGAACGTCTCAGCTGATCAATCAATTAATTTAGAAGTGGCACAAAAACAGCTCTTTGTTCCGCGAGGCATTAAAAGCAGACAGATAGCGTCACTTTCCAAAACACACTCTGATTACAATAACAATAATAATTACGAGGCTGTTTTCTGATTCACTTCATTACAGTTCAGCTCGGTATTTTGTGCGCATTCTTGGCGTTTATGGGTCAGAGAAAAATTTGCCTACAAGTTGAAAAATTGCTTGGAAGATTTGGGAAACAAACACTTCCGCGTGTGTGAATAGATTTTCAATGAGCATTTTTTGTCGCTCTGCTGAATTGACTTTGCGTATGAAAAACTTCCATTTGTTGCTGAGATTCGAATAAGATTTTTTTCTGACTAGAATTATTTGTCGTATTTGTTTCTTTTTCTGTCTTATTGGATTATAAATGGCAACATGTGGCAATATTCACAGTAGTAAATGCAAGATTTTTTAAGCTCTTCCCACTTGAAATACTTGAAATCATATCATATAATTTTCACACATTTTAAGTTGATATGAATTTTAAAGAGCTTGAAAATGGCTTATAAAACAACGTATATAAACGGTTATTTCTGACTGATTAGACTTAATTATGAATTAAAACCAACAGACATGACCAAAAATCCCAATTCTCCATTAAATAAATTGAATTAGGTCATAAAACTATTAATTTGGAAGGCAAAAGCTAAATTCTGTCATTTTTTCACAAGTTTCTTTTCATTTTCTGTCCTCTAAAATTAATACTGTAGCGAAATATAATTTCCAAGTCGTTTGTTAATGTGTGAAAAGTGGAATTAAGTCCAATGCTGAATTCAATTAGGTTACAAAAAAGCTTCACTCTGCAATTCTCTACTCCATCGCGAAGTAATAAATTGCTGAATTGCACAGCAAATAATCAATTATTCTGCCTCCTGAAGAAGCCTTTTTTAATCCATTTCTGCCAATTACATTGATTTCCGTGCGAAAAGTGCAAATTCTGTGTCCGCTTTCTCTGCAGGTGAGGCTGCTGATCGTGGCGACGGATCTGGAGCGGAGTCCCGGCGACGGGGGGCTCGACGAGGCGGTGTACGCGCTGCGCAAGCGGGTGCGGGACGCCGAGGTGCCGTACGTGTTTGCACTGACGCGGCGCGCGATCGGGAACATCCTGCAGAAGTCGCCGGCCGTGAGCTGCGTGGCGGTGCTGGACTACAGCGGCGCCAAGGAGAAGGTGGACGAGCTGCTGGAGGTGGTGGACCAGAAGCGCGCCATGTACAACGACCTGTGCGCCGACTGGGGCACCATTGACTCTCTGATCTCGCACAACTGAAACTCTGCTGGCCAAAGAACGCGGTGACACACATCAATTGGGGGGTGAGTCTGTGTAGAAACCAATTCCAAATGGGGGCAATAAATGCACGGCCCGCCACGCGCCCCTTGGCATCTAAGGGGCCGGCCGTGGGTGGGCAATCACGGTCTTTCTGTGGTGTTGAGCGCGCTGGAGTTGGTGCTGGTGCCGTTGTTGGCGATGCTGCGCGTCTTCTGCGCCGCCAGGTTGAACTGGATGAGGATGATGAGGTAGGACGTGATGGCGCCCGTGATGGCGTACACGGTGGTCATGTCCAAGTCGAAGAAGCCGCACGCCGTGAAGTTCAGGTGGTGATTCAGGAGCTTGAGCGACAGATGGTTCACGACGTGGTAGAAATGGTTCTCATCTACCACGTTGGCTATCTTGTGCAGATGCACTCCGCTCTTCTGGGCGTCCGTCTTTGTCTTCCAGCTCACGTAGATCACGCTGATGCACTTGCACGCCGTCAAGGCGATGAAGATGCACGAGATCCACAAGCTCTGGGCATTTCTGAACAGGATGGGGATCTTCTGGCCCACCAGGCCACAGTAGAGGAAGTAGAACTGAGCGGTGATGCTCATGAAGCCGTAAGCCATGGTGATTAGCATCTGGAAGCCGAACATCTTGTTCACCAGCTTCCCGATTTCGCAGACTTCGTCGTGCAGTCGACAGATGAGGATCAGCTTCTTGTCCATCTTGTCGCCCACGGAAAAGTTCTTCTCGTTGACTGTGAAGGCCAGCAGAGTGTCGCGGATTGTGGCTGGCTGAGTGGGATGGACTTGGATTGGGGGATTGGGAAAGGTTGTTTGCGGGGGTTTTTCAGGGGTGGAGCGCTGCTTGGTGAGTATCTCTCTATCCAGATAGCCCACAATTTCCACCTTTGGACTCTTCTCGGCGCTGCTGGCCTTCTTGTCCGTGTACTTGAGCTTGATCTCCAGGAAGACTTCCTGGGTGTGCATGAAGTACTCGTTGATGGCCAGGAATTGCTGGCGAACCAAGCAGACCAGGGCGATGTACCACACTCTGGCTACGCTGTTGGTCATCAGCGGCAGCGCGGTGAGGAACCAGGACAAGGAGGCCACAATGGCGTCCTCCGTGAGCTCAAAGAGGAAGTAGTTGAACGAGATGAGGATGATCTCGCACGCCAATGCCACCACGAGGATTATGTTGACCAGTGTGACGACTCTCTTGTAGTGCAGCGGGATGTTCTCCTTGCGCAGCTTCTCGTCCACCGTCTGCAGGCGCTCCATGCACTGGATCAGATCGCGCTGGTTCACCATCATCGAGATGATGTCCGTCACCATCAGTGCGGGCTCCATATAGATGATGAATACACCGATCACGATCGTCAGCGTGTTGCTCTGCGAGCCGCCCATCTCCAAGGATGAACTCCAGGTGGCGAAGTGGTACAAGAGCGTGTGGTTCAGCAGCACAATGCAGCACCAGATGTTGGCCACGATGGACGGCCGCAGCTTCTTCTCCCTGAAGAAGTGGCCAATGGAGTAGGGCATGATTCCCATGACCCTGGAGATGTAGAAGAGAAATCCCAGGGATTGAAAGATCGTGCGGCTCTTGCGTGTCGCGGACATCTTCTCCATGGTTGAGAAGTGAGAGAGTCACTGAGGCCGACCAATTAATTACGCTACGCCGAGAAGTATTGTCCCTTGATAGCCAATTAATCGATTTCAATCCTACTAATTGACATCTTTTATTCATAAACTCCCGCTTAGGGATGGCTATTCGCGTGGGAATTTATGTTAAAGGACAGCTTTTCTATAGAATACCTTTGAAATTTATTGTGGAAATTCAGGAAAACTTATTCCATTGACTTCTGGTAATATTTTCCGCTCTGATTAGAGATAAAATGCCACGTAAGATAAAATTATTACACGAAACAGAAGGAAACGCAGTATTATTCACCACAGTTGAATCAATTAAGGAACATATTTTGATGCAATATCGTGTTCTGAAGAGCTTTAGAATATTAAATTATCTTTCGTTTGCCCCAGAGATGAGCGAAATCGAGTGAGAAACACCAGAGATATTGACCTGTCTTTGAGAGTTTATGATCCGCCGGCCAAATTGAACTGAATGAGAATGATTACGTAAACCAGGATGGCTCCGCTGCAGGAGCCGATTGTGGTCATGTCCAGCAGGAAGAATCCGCCCACGGGAAACTCCAGGCGCTGCTGCCAGATCTGCAGCGAGAGCTGGTTCGTGAGTCTGTAGCAGGGAACTTCGTCCACGGCGATGGCGATTTGGTGCAGGGATGATCCCGTGAGCTGCGCCCGGCGCTTCACCTCAGACGCCACGAAGATCACGTAGAACACCTTCCAGAGGCCAAAGAGGGTGTAGTACACGGAGATGATGAAGCTGTCGGCAGCGCGGAAGAGCGGCGGCACTTGCTGGCTGAGCGCGGACAAGTAGATGAAGTACATCTGCGTGACTGTGAGCAGGATGGTGAAGAGCATGGCCAGGAGATTCTCCAGGTGGAAAATTCTGTTGATGTCGAGAGAGATTTTGCCCACTTCGGCGTGCAAGTGGCACAATCGCATCAGCTTCTGTCCCAGGAATTCATCAAATATTGGCTCCATTGGGAACTTCTTCGCCGGGAAGCCGCTCTGCGTCTCGAGTGTGTCTGCAGTTGTGTCCAGGATCTGATTGATGGCACTGAAGAAGAGCTCAGTGATGTCCATCAGCACGATGAACCACACTCTGGCCAGGGACGTGATGGTGATGGGCAGAAAGAGCCAGAACCAAGTCGAGAGCGCCGTGAAGCGAGTTGCATCGGCGGTGTAAATTGTGGTGCTGAAGTAGTAAATCATCATCGTGGCTTCGCCTCCGATCAGCACGAAGACGAGGAAAAGTGTTTTACGGGACAGATTTGTGTAGCTTATTTTCCCACCTTCTGCCCAAAGACGCTCTTCGACGGCACGAAGGCGCTTAACGACGTCAATGACGCGCTTTTGATTTAAGATATTCGTCACAGTAATTACGATCATCGTGAGTGGTTCCGAATAGATGATAACCTTATCAGGTTTAAGAGGGAATGTTGATTTCATTAGGAAATGTAAAGATGATTCTGGAAGATTTTCAACCTTACCATGTAGATTGTGAACGTGAGAGATGGATAAGTTTCCTTCACATTGAGTGTTGATGGCCAAGAGTGAACATGGAACAGAACTCCGGCCACGAAAGTCATGCAGAGGCTGAAAAGGGACGAAATAGTGGAAATCTTCAAGTCCTTGCGGCGAAAGAAGGCACAGAAGTCAAAGGGAAATATTCCAAAGATCTTCGATGCATAGAAGACAGGAATTAAAACGACTTGAAAGTGTTCTTTCGGCTGTTCACTGGCCTGAATTGGCGACACGTCGACAACCTTCACAGCCTGTCCTTTGAATTTCAACTCCATGAAGCGAACCATCGCGACTAATTCCACTTTATGCGCCCTAACGAGCTTTCGCTGTGCATTTATGCTCCTCTTTGTGAAAGCTTTCAATTTGAGAGATAAGAATCAAGGGTAATTAATTGAAAATGCCATTGACTATTTTGATAAGCTTCTTTAATAATCATTGCAAATATTGTTGTATAATAAATTGATTTTTAAATATACTTTTCTCATTTTTTAAGTTCGTATGACTGTTTATCATTTTGTTCTAATAAAATTCTCCATTTCTTCATCACCTACGTTTTCTGTTCTATTCACTTTACTCAAATGTCCTCTTCGTGGTTGTTTTTTTTTTTAATTCTGTTTCCATTTAAGTGTTTATTTATGCCATTTATGCACGTTCATTTTCTTGTGAATTTATGACTCTATTTCATTTAATGACTACTTCTGTGGAGTATTTTTTTTCTTGAATTCTGACATTACACAGCAAGACGATAATTATGAAATATTTTCATCTTGATTTTGCAGCTCTTCTCATCCAATTTGCTTCGCTTCTCTCAAAGTTTAATAACATTGTTCCATCGCGCAGCACCGAAAAAGTGCCCTTGCTTCATTTTGTAAAGTATATCCTTTTAAATGGTCGAGAAAACACAATAAGCTTTCAACATATCGACTTTTCACATAGATTTTCTCCTAATAAAGGGTTCAATTTGATTTCTTTATGTTGTGTCCTTGTCAATACAGGTAATACAATAATCCTAAATATAAATATTCATCTTTGTTCTTAATAAAGGTGTTCCTAAATAAATAAAGCAATTAATAAAGATTTCTTGTTCTTCTTCCTTTCAACCTCCGTTTCAACACTTTGTTGCAGGTTTTTTTTCTCTTCTTTATTGAGCTAAGCATTTAATTTTTTTTCTTCACATCGTAATTAATGTTAAATATTTTTCTTCTTCATCGTAATATTTAATACCACATAGATGCAAATATCTTTTTTTTATACTTTTTCATTGGAATATTAATATCAATAATAATGTTAATATTTTTTTCTTCTTTTTATTAAATATTATAATGGGTGAATAATCATTTTATTAGCATTTTTGGTTTCTCTTAATTGTATTGAAGAACAGCAAGTGACAGGCAGCAACTCCTTAAAGATCCTTATCAAATCTCTGCGTGAAATTAGAGGAAAAAATCAGTGTTAATTAATCAGTGATTACCGAATATTGTGACTTTTATTCGTACTTTTACTTTGTCCTTATCCAACTCTCGCACTTCGGCTCCAGAGGATTCACCTAAATGTGCAAAAGAGTAAAAATATCCTTAATCTTCTGTCGAGAAGCCACAATCAACGGAGAATATTTTCCAACTTCCGCCAGAATTCAACAAACATTCACAAACATCGTTATTTTTACATGTAAAACACGCAATTAAAATCATAAACTCTACGTTTACTAAAGGAACATACAAATCACATCACATGAAGCGATAAAATCATGCATTCTAAATAAGAGGTTAACATCCAACCAGAAGATGGACGAAAAGAAATTGAGATTATGTATTAAAGACTCTTGAACACGAGAACTAAAAGAAAAATCAGCCGCATGCATAGTTTTGAGCTCTTTTGTTGCTTTTGATAGTTTAGCGGTTCCTGAAAGGATTCACAATTTCATGTACGACTTCCTGCAACCAACTCATGGCTATTTACTTATCAAACAAGATTTTCATTTAGTCCCGAAATCCTCGATTGTCAAACATTGTAAAAGAACTCAAGAGGATACGATAAATACCAAACAGACAGTAAAATATAATTGATAACTGAAACAGGATGAGAAAGAGTAACTAAAGAGAAGGAAGACTTTCTGCCACTGAAGGATGGTTGATTGCTGTTGTGTACTACCTTGCTGTGTCGATCATTCCTTGTCCGACTGACTCTCGAATGGGTCGAAGGGATCGAAGAGCAAGCTGTCGCCCTTCTGTGTGGCTTCGCGCCTCGAGGCGCCACTCAAGATGGTGCGATCCTCGAAGAACAGCGGCGAGGGGCCCTGACTGCTGTAATATTCCGCCACGTTCGAGTCCAGCGTGTCGATCATGGTGTTGGAGTCGCAGCTCGTCATGCTGCCCGACATCTGCGAGTCGCGGTCCGTCTGGTACGTGGCGTTCGTGGCCGTTGAGCTGGTGTACTGGTCCAGGCTCTCGCTGCTCGTCAGCAGGAGATCGCCCTCGAGTGGGTTCAAGGAGTCGCTCGAGATGTCCTTGGGAATGGCGCCGAAACTCTGCGGTCCGCCAGTCCTTGTGACGGTTGTGGTCGTCGTGATCACTTGATGCTGCCCCGAAGAGCTCATCACCGTTGTCTGGGTGACGTTCGTCTCCTCCTCAATGGAATCCTCATCGTACTGCTGGGAAAATCTATTCGACCCCGCTTGCTGCTGCTCGATGGAATCCGTGCTGTCGCTCTTCACCGCCGACGGAACAACTTGTTCGATAGAATCTGCTTCTGATTTTGAAGATTTCGCAGTTACGCCTTCTCTCATCAACTCTATCGAATCCATACTGCTCGTCATGGCATCCATTCCACTCTTGTTGATCTCTAAGCTGTCCACACTCTCCCGCCTTGATCCACTCGCTCCTGCTTTGGGCTTGCTAGCCTCGAGACTATCCGTTGAAGTTTCCATGATATTTGACGGCAGACTCTCATCCTCGATCTCATCAAGTTTGTGCTTTAGAACCTGAAATCCAGATGAAGTCATCACCTTTGTCGCTCCATTGGATGTCTTGGTCACTGTTGTCACTGTCGTGACAGTGCTTGTAATCTCTGTGCCCTCAGTTTTGCCTCCCTTTCCAGAACTGTCCGACTTGTTGGATTCATCTGACCTGGAGAGCAACAGAGCAGCTTCTTCCTTCGCCTTAATTTCCAGCAAATGTGCCTCAAGACAAGCATTCTCCAAACCTTCGAACTCTTTTAGACTGGACAAGGAGATGCCATCTCCTTCAGCGCTTCTCGCCAAGTATCTCTTCGGAAAACTCCCGTTCGACAGAGAATCCTGTGATCCTTGATGCTGTCGTCTGTTCTCCAGCGATATCGCTTGCTCCAAGTTCTCAAACTCCTGCAAACTACTCATCGAGATGTCGTCATTCTCCTTATTAAAGCACTTCCTTCCCGCCAGTACATCGTACTCAGGAGTGCTGGAGAACGAGTCCTTGAAGCTACTAATCCTGCTGCTGCCCACTTCCATCTCATTGTCCTCCTCCTTGATATCCTCCAGCACACCGCGCTCCAACTCATAAGGATACCTCAGGTTTTGTGCATTGTCAGCCAGTTGCATCTCAACCCATTTCTTACTGGCCTCAATATTGGGATCCTTCTCAGCCTTGCCGCCCTCCTGAGGCGGACTCTCCTCGAAATCGAAGCCAATCTGCTCACGATTGTGCACATCGCTGTAGATAATTGAGCCTGCGTTAGGATCAGCCGGCGCCGAGTGGACAATATACTTCTCTAAGTCCTCATCGTGCTTCTTCACATACTTTGTGGGCTTGATCTTCACGCTCTTCCCCTCCACGTCCATTTCGTTGGCCTCCTTGGCCACCTCTTCAATGATCACAAACTCATCCGAGATGTCTGGCTGCTCCAGCATCTCGAAAGAGTCACTGCCCGGCGAATCGCCGCGGGCCTCGTCCTTCTGCGCCTCCTCAAAGCTGTAAGTCGGAACGGGATCGGTGATCTTCGACTTGGATTGCCTTTCGAGGAGCTCCTCGTACTGATCTTCAGTCATTTTGTACTCCCTTTGCTGAGCATATTGAATCTTCTGCTCCTCAGTCGGTGATTTCACTTGAGGTTTCGGTGGTTCTTCTTTGAGCGATGCCGGCGGAGCGGATGGCACTTGAATGTCCTCGTCGTCACTGACATACTTATTGGGATCATCTGTGATCGTGATGTTGGGCACATTTGAGTAGTCCTGGAGATTCTGTGACACTTGCTTCAACGTTTGCTGGGTCTCTTGCTGACACTCTGCCTCAGCATTAACGTCTTCCTCGATGGTTTCAATGATCGACTGCGATGGCGATCGCGATCTCTTGATGTCCATGTCTTTCTCGAAAGTCTCCGTTCTCATCTCAGCCGCGCGCTTTCCCTTCTTCGACTGCAGATCAGCGGGAGTTTTATAAGCTCTTGAATACTCAGTCTCATACCGGTCATAGTCAGAGTCTGACCCGCTGCCTCTCTGATCCTCAGATATGAAAGTCTCCCTCAGGAGTGTGACATGAGGCTCTTGCTCGTGGATGATCATCTCCTCATCCAGATCATCGAGCTCGTCGGAGGGCGGTTTGCTGCCAGAGTCAAATCCCTTGAAGGAAGCAAAGCTGGTGCTGTCATTTCTCTTGTGGCCCTTCCCTGGCTTCCTCCCAGAGTCCGGACTGTCTTGAGATTCTGTCGTCGTGCTTCTTGCATCGTCCATTACAGCGGACGATGTCAGCACAACATCGTCTGGCTTGAAAGTGAGGTCAGACTCTTCAAAGCTCGTCGCTATGATATCATCAGTGAGTTTGTGATGAAGCTCGTAACTTCCTGTGAGTGATCCACTGAGAGAGGGAATATCAAATCCCTCCGGAGCATTTTCCATGACTGTCTCTATGCAAGAAGCACTCGAGAGACTTACTGACAGAATGCTGCCATCCTCTAGACTTGAGGCAAACCTCGTTTCATCATAACTTCCACTGCCAGATATCTTTATCTCCTCGCTACTCGTCATGATGCGCGAGGATTCTGTCACAGCAGTCCTGAGATCGTCTTTCTCAGTGATTTCAGGCGACTCTAGTGGATAGATTGGCTTCAATTCCGGTTGGAATGTCATCTCTTGAGATCGCTTCATACTTCCACTGGCCACGGGCTCTGCGCTATCATCAAACTCAAGTAGAATTGTTCCTCCCTTCTCCTCTAAACTCCCATACTTCATTTCACCCTCCTCAGTCTCTGCCTCGGACGTTTCCATCTCCAAATCCATTGTCGAGGGAATTAGCGTCTCTGACGCTTCCGAGACTTCAACACTCGCCAAATGGCCAGAGCTTTCAGAGTCAAAACTCTTCATGCTCTCGCGAGAGCTGATCGTCGCTCCGGCACTGTACTCAAGAGTGCTCACTGCACTGTGATACTCTGTGGACCCTGGCCTGAATGAGTTGTCCATGGCAGTTTGGTACTCTGACGTGAGCAGATTCTCCACATCTGACGATGCTGGGCGACTTTCTGTCTTCTCGAAGCTCTGGTAGTGACTATCAGAGCTGGAGTAGTTGTCCTGGTCAGTAACTGACCACCTATTTGAGCCCGGAACACTGCTTCCCTTCTGCTTGCGCTGCACAACATCCAGCTTCTGTGAGGAATCCTCTGCCGAAGACTGTTGCGAAGAGGAAGCATCCTGAGCGTCGGGCTTCTGCGAAACTGCCTTCTCCACAATTCTCTCGCCCAGAGACACATCGCCATGTGATGAGTCCTCCTGATATGATTCATGAATTGTCTCCTCGGTGTATTTGATGTGCGGCAAGACTTTGAATTCAAACTCCGATGGACTCTGCTTGATAAGCTTGCCATCCTTCACCGTTTCTATGAGTTCCTCCTGAACTGCATCGAGAGATTCACTAACTTCCGCCAAAGTTCGCTCCATGGCGATCTCATCAGTGGACTTTGTTTGAGCTTCCACAATTCTGGAGGATTCTTTAAGTGACTGTGACTCACTCACGCTTTCAATGCTTGCTTGCTTCTTCGCTTCGTCGCCCAAAACATCAATTGCCGTGGCTTTGGCTGTGGTCACAACGTCTTCCTGAACTGGCACCGGAGTCTCAAAGTCCACTACACTCTGATATGGCTTTATTGGTGAGTGAATTACTGGGACTTTCTCCATTTCCGGTGCTTTGTGCAGTTTTGCCTCCTCCTCATCTTGATCCATTTGACTCACCTTCACTGAAGCGTATCGGATTTTCTCCGATATCTCAGTTTCGCTCTTCTCCACAGTCATTCGCTGGTGTTTCTCTAGCTCAGCAGAAGACGATGGAAGAGACATCTCTTCTTCCAGAGTAACACTTTCTTGGGTCGTTCTGTACCCGTCATTATCATATGCAAACTCAGATCTCTTTTCAGTCTGAGTCTTGGTGATTATATTCTTGCTAGATTCACCAATGTAGAACTTTGCCTGTTTGGCTTCTCCGGTTTCCGACTCATCATCAGTCTTCATCAGATTGTGATCGTCTTCCACATACTCGGTCTTGTCCTCAGCCTCATCTCTCTTCTCCGAACTGTCCAGACGATCGCTCAGCGGAAAGCTCTCGTCATCTAAGCGCTCCTCCATTGTGATTGAGTCCTCTTCCTTGCCAGCGCTCCTCGACTCTGTGATGGATCGAGCACTATCGGACTCTCCGTACTCCACGTGGCGCTCCGATGAGATCTCTGATCTCTCAGACTTGGTGTCCTCCCTGAGGCTGGGCGCCTCCGAGGACTCCTCGCCCTTGGACAGGCTTGTGCTGAGCTGAACGCGTGGCTTCGGAATGGGCGCAGCACGGGCCCCTTTGGCCACTTCTTCGAGCAACTTCTCACCATCCTTGGGACTCTCCAGAGACTCCCAGAAAATCTTTTTCTCACTGAACGTCTTCTCTTTGTCTTCCGTGGCTACAGATGAACTCACCTCACCTGACTCATCTGTTATTGATTTACTTAACCTAGGCGTTGGTTTTGGAAGTGTGTCAGGGTCTCTTCTTGGCTCTAAAATGAAAGCGATGAAATGCGTGTTAGGGTTAGAGTAGCTAAGAGATAGGATGGTGTTAAGAAACAACGTGATTTCGGGGAAAAGTGTGAGAAGGGAAGGTTTCGGGGCGGAGAGAGCCAAAAGATTGTTTGCTGTTCAACATCAAAATCAAATGGTTGAGACACACACAAGAGTGGTCAAGAAGAACATAAAGAAAATTAAAATCACCAACAGAGACATGCTGTGTGTGAAAATATCCTTAGTTAGCCATCTTTCGCGAAGAGTACACGTTAGTAAGACACCTTGAGAATCTCTCAGAATTTCTTCAGCAGAGACACAGAAGGCACAAAAGCTATACAGATAGAGAAGTGGGAGAGATTTAGAGGCAGCAGAGACAGGAGAATGGAAGCAAAAAGAGCTCAAAACCGCGGATTTTCCCATACAGTTCTCCACACTGGGTTGTTAGTGGCAAAAGTCTTTGGTAAACGGCAAACTCCATCACACAACGAAAAGATTGGTAAATAGGAAATTCTAGCAACGTCACCTTGATTGAGATCTTGCAAGTCAGTATCTGGCGTGCTGAGGGCATGTTCGGCGGTGGTGGCTGAGACACTCTCATCCCAGCTCATCTTGGAGAAGTCGCTCTGCAGCTGCGACACCTCGTCCCGATCGATCGCCGCCATAGCGCGCTCAAACTCCGCGTCGTCGTTCAACTCCTGGTCGTCGAGCTGCGATGAGAGTCTCTCGAAGCGGCGGTCAATGCGAGCCGCCTTGGCGTCCACAACCACCTGATCAATGCCCTCGTTGTCGTCATCGAACGACTTGCCAGATATTGACTCTATGGTTGGCGATTTCACGAAATCGACACCATTCGATATGTCACTGGTGATGGCAAAATGCTCACTCTCCGACTGCCCACCATCAGTTAGACACTGTGGCTGCTGTTGCGAATGGACTATGGACAAGCTTTGCTCTAACACACTATCGACTAAGTGAATTGCCTCACAACGAACTAATTTATCAAAATCATCCCCTGCAATGAAGAAAATGTTCAAGCAACAAGAGTGGTTTTGTGGTAATCTAAACAGATCTTCTCGTTTCACATCATTTCTTCATCAAAGAACAGGAAGTTTTTGTTTGGGTGATAGAGAGAATAGTTCCAAAAAATGAAGATAAGACATAGACACAGTTAGAAGGGGAGATAGAAAGAATTACACTGGAATGATTGAACATTTTGGCGATTCACTGACAATTTTGCGAGGAAATTTATTGATAAATAAAATATCTGGATGCTCAATCAATATGAAAGCACAGTTAGTAATGAAGCGTAAAAGCTTAAATTTTCGTATAAATAATGTTAAATTACAATGCCAAGTATGAATTTCCAATCAAACAATTAGAGCGCAAAAATTTTCAATCATTCCACGGGATGTACTTCATTAAAAACATTAAGATTTGGAGAAAAAGTCACTCCACAAGAAATCTATTGAAAATCACAAACTCTCTATAAAAACATCGTTCATCTTAAAAGCTTAAAAGTGGCGGAAGGCATTTCTTCTGACTTTTGATTTTCTCAACACTTCTAAGAAAGACAATAAATATTGATACTGATCTAAATATTTATAGCCCTAAACAAACATCTTTAATATACACAAATTTGTCTTTTTAAAAAATCCTCTGTTGAAGAAATGTAACAATAGTGAATTATGTAAAGGATAAGGAAATAATGTTCAACAATAAATGATGATGTGAGGTGCAAACACACTTAATGAGATGATTTAGTAAGAAATTATCTTTCATTGTGTGAATTTTCTTGATTTTTGTTTTTCGAAAATAGGTTTTGCAGCGCAATTTAAAATTGATGGTTTGCAAGAAGCATTTTCATCTAATAAATATAAACTAATATGTAAAATTTGCACACTTTGTAAAAACCAGGAAATGAATTTCATCTAGATTTTCGTATATCTTTCTCAAACACGTTCCAATTTATTTGGTACGCAAAGAGCTATTTTAAGTGTACTTAACCAAGGAGAGAACAAACATCAAATTAAGATACGAAATCAATCTCTAATGTGCACCTTTACTGTGAATTGCTTGAAAGTTGAAAGAAAAGTCTAATAATCTCCTGATAGTAAAAACATGGATTCTTTTTTCCTCACCCAAATCGCACTCAAAGAAAAGAAAGCAGTGTAATTTCTTGCCAATTCCCACTAACTAAATGACGTGAAATGAACGGATATTTTGCAAATAATGTTTTTCATCTTTTCCTCTTCCCGGAAATTTCTAATATTCCGGAAATATCGTCACACACAGCATTGCCTGGCTTTTAGTTTCAATGACGAAAAAAAAAACATAGTGAGGATACGAAACTAAGAAGAAATGTGTGAAATAAAAAATACAATGGATGAGATAAAATGATGTTGATGATGTGTGAGTGAAATGAGCAATAAAAGAGTAGAAGAAAAATTAAATTTTCCAAAAAATACTGTGAAGAAAGAGTTCATAGAAATAGTTGAAAAGAATACGAGAAAACGTGTAAAGAAAAATCTTCCAAGAGTGAAGACTACCCTTAACGGCGTCTAATACAAACCTTTGAGACTATCACTGTCCGACAATTCCGAATCACGATGTTCTTTTGAGTCGCCTTTTTTATCTGCAAGAATGACGGGAAGCATTTTAGCGATACAAGTACAAATAGTGGGAAATACTGAGATTGTCCATTTTTTTTGGATTTGGTGGAGAGACTGTGTCAGTAAATTGAATGGATTTGTAAGAAAATGTCTTATTGTATCATCATGGGAATTTAGCCAGCTTTCGGTATTTCAAGAAATATATATATAACATATCAATTTTACATAAATAACAAAACGATTTACTGAGCATAAATCTTCTGGTAATTAGAAGATAAGAAACACTCACAAAAATCACACGCACGCACACAAAAGCATTATGGTTGAAAAAAGAGTCAAATTACTGAAGAAAGCAAGCACAATCTTTGCATGTCAAACCTCATTTCCTGTTCTCACTCCTTTGCCTCCTCTTCCACGTACTCAACGTCCGTGTAGACTTCCTGGCACTCGCGATGTCCCTTGATGTTGAGCTTCTCCGTCTGCACGTCGAAGGCGCTGCGGCTGCAGTCGGTGATCGTGCACGAGGCGTCGTCCAGAATCTGGTGCACCTCGAAGGGTGTGGCCGTCTGAGCACGAGAATAGGTGTCCTCGTCCGGATCCGAAGGCATGGCCATATCCTCAGTGTCTGTATATGGAAAGCACACTCTGTCCACGGGCAGAGAAGCCTTCCGAATGACCGGAACGCGATGGGCTGATTTCTTCTCACCGCAAGACGCTCCAACGCTGTCAGTGACCGTTGAGACATAAGTGTCTCCTCCGATCAAAGAATTGGTGTCCACACTTGGCATCAATCCTTCGTAGTCCGGAGGATAGTCATCAGCAGAAACATACTCTACGTCTGTCTTCGCACCATCAGTGCTCACAATAACAGGAACAGCAATGGAAGTTCTTCCTTTCTTTTGCTTTCTAACTTCCTTTCTATCCTGAGAATGCTCTTGGTCGCTCAAATCCAACTCCTCAACGTCTGTTCCTCCTAAATTCGGAGTCTTCACTTCCAATTGTTTCTGCTTTCCACGGCCACTACAGCGATGCTTGTGCTTTCTGCGACGACATGCTTGCGCAGGAAATAAATCCTCTGTATCTGTTATTGGATCAGGAGTTTGGTCAGTGACATTCAAGTTTGAGGCCGTAGATTGCTTCTCAGTCACATGAATACTTCCTGACTCCAAATCGGGAGCCTTCTCAATGACATATTTGGAGGAATCATCATCGATATCTTCAGCATCAGAGAGATCTTCAACGTCAGTCAATCCCTTATCAATGTACCCAGAATTGAGCCCAAGCGTTAATCCATATGTTGGTCTGATAGTCTGTCGTCGAGCTCGATCTTCTCTCACCTCCACCAATTCTATACTCGGTGAGGGCAATTTGATTTCCGGAGTCTCATCAGCCTCGCTCTCCACCTCATCAATATCCTCTGTGTCCGTGAGAAATCCCACTTTGGACTTAATGACAGCAGCGGGAATGAGTTCATGCTTCTTTTGGCCATCGTCATCATCGTCGTCTGATGAATTTAGGTTCTCAACATCTGTAAAACCATCATCAACTTCATCGACTTTCAAAAGACTTGGTTTCATCATTGGCACTGCCCTCTTAATCTTCTTTGCAGCGTCTGCGAAAGTGATGTCTATTTCTGGATACAAAGGCGTTTTGACTGATTCATCTTCACCATCACTCAGCTCAATGGTTACTTCTTCCCAGCCATCGAGGATTAAGGGTAATTTCTTCATCATATCCCTTTGATTGCTTATTTCTTCATCTGAAAACATGATGTTTTCTGTATCGGAAACTGCATTTTTGTTTTTCTTAGATCTGCATCCTCTCTTGAGGCCCAAATGTCTTGTGTCATCTTCAGACTCTTCAGACGATGAAGTGCTCTCACCTGTTGTCGTCAAGTGTATTGGTGACTGTGGGAATTGCCCAGAGTCATTCTTCACCACATCGTGATTATCCACTACATTAGCTTCTTCAAGAATTATTTCTTGATCATCCTCCTCAAAAAATTGTTCATCTTCCTCTTCATCATCGGATGCATTCAAGTTCTCACAATCCGTCACAGATCCCTGATCATTTTCATCAACTCTGAGAGCATTCAAAGGTGGATTTTTGGGTGGAGCATCAGACATGTTTTGCTTGTGACCAGAATACTTTGTTGACTCCTCAATGTATGCTTGATCAAGAAACTCCTCCAGAGAAATCTTGATGTCTTCAACAGGTGCCTTGTCATCCTCACCCTCTGATCCTGAAGTGTTCATGTCCTCCACATCCGTCAAAGCATCACACTTGGCCTTTTTCAACCCAAGCGACAGAGATTTTCTTCTGTTGGGCTTTACTTCGCCATCACTATCCAAATTCTCAACATCTGTGTGCACTTCATTGATGTTCAGCCCAGTACTCTCAGTGGCTTCTTCTGCGACATCGTCGGAAAAGTGCTCCTCCGTAATGGATATTGTTGGAATTACAGACATCCTGTTTGATTCAGAAGCGACTTAGCGGCACTCATTCAATATTATACAATTTGCCTATTCAGATCAGCTAAACAAAATAACAATTTTTCTCATTTCATGTGTTCATCAAACATAGAAATTGTAGTTGTAAAGAAAAATTAAAAAGTATTGCAGCATAAAATTCTTGCTCAATTGGAAAACAAAATAAAAATGATCAATCTTTGGCAATTGTGTGGTTCGTTCTTAAAACATAGATATATCACTTAAGAATCTAATAAACATTTACAGCAATGCAAGAAGCGGATGTAGACAAAGTTATCAATCTTAATGCTCTTTATCTACATCCGCTTCATGCATAAAGTCTAATAAATCGGTAAGAAGAGAGATTGTAAAGAGAAATTGAAGGCGTAAAAGAGGTAAGAAAAAAATTTCTTCAATTACCTTGGGTGCTGAGGCTCTCGTAGTCGAACTTGTGTTTCATGCGGGGCGGTGAGACAGCCTTGAAGGCGAGGATTGGCGAGAGTCGGCTCTCCTGGGTCACACCAGCCACGTGAGCGACAGCCACGACACTCTCTGCACCCTTCTCCGTCTCCGCGTGGCCTCCCTCTGTCGCCACAGCTGATTCCTCCTCATCTTCAATAGTACTTGTGATAAGGGTCTCGCTCTTGCGTCCAATTTTGTGTTCGAGCATCTGCAGGGCTCTCTTCGTGGGTTTTGGCGAAGCTGGACTGCATGAGCGCTTCCACTTGCCAAACCCATCGTTCTCATGGTCAGACGATGAGGATGGTAGAGCGATAGAGTCCGACAGACTCGAGTCTGTCGTCTCTATGAAACTCACATCCACATCGTTGCACTTGTAGTCATTGAGCCTCCGCACGAGATCGACATTCGACGTGGACGGCTGGCGATAGATCACTTCAATGGACCGCGAGGAATCAACAGTGCGCGTGAACACCTCACTCGTGATCACTTGGCTTCCATTTTGAATGGATCGACGCAAATGATTGGGACTCGACGGCAGAGATGCAGGAGATTTGTCACGACTCACGTATTCCCGGTGTGTGAAGGGAAGAGCAGATTGACTGCGGTATGAGTCAATTTCCTGGCCAATCTTGCGAGCTTCCCTGCGAGCTTCCTGACTCAAAAGTTTCTCCTTGAGTTCCGCTCTCTTCAGAGTTCTCTTTGGCTCCTGCGGAGAGCTCCTTTTGACCTTCTCGCCCTTCTTCATCTTTTCCTCATCACTTGAAGAGTGGAGAGTGATCTTCGTGGTGGTCATTGTACTCTTTTTCACCTTCACGTGACTAACATCTCCTGCACCTTCCTTCCTTACCTCAGTTTTTGTCTTTCTCACAGGAATCAGACTGAGATTCTTTGTATCCTTGTTACTCTTAATTGTTGCCACTTTTGATACGGCAACAGACTTGGTTTGGATTTTCTTTTTATCGTCCTTAAATGAAGCTGGAGGAGAGGATTTTCCCACTTTAGACGTCGTTTTTTTCTCAGGCTCATCAACCTTCTTCTTCTTGCGTTCTACCTGAGAAGTGGTCTTCTCAAAGGTTTTCTTCTCAACTTTCACATCAGGTGTTTTAGCTCTAAAAGTGTCCACTCGACTTTTAGCCTCTGCCTTCTTGACCGGAGTTCGTGGAGTTTCGCTTCGCGACACAGAGCGCGTTGGAGTCGAAACTCTTTTCTCAGGAATTGCTATTCCCTTTCCAATCTTCTGATCGCGAGACAGAGTCGATTGCATATAGCCATAAACTCTGCTCGATGTGACAGTGGTTGTTCTTGTGCTGGAAGAAGTCACAGACACATCTTCTGTCTTACGACTTACGTGGATTTTCTTCGTGCTGGATTTTCCAATATCAATTTTCTGGACTTTGCTTGTCTTCTCCTTGATCTTATTGGAATCCATCAAAGGTTTAGTTACAAGTTGAACTTTAATGTCTTTCTTTTTCATGGCAGGTTTCATTGACTTCTCAATAATTGTTTCTCTTTCCTCTAATTTCTTTTCAAATCTCTCCTGTTTAGCAGCAATTTTCTCTGGTAATTCAGACTTTTCAATCTTGTCTACACTCTTTATTTTCTTCAGCAATTCTTTCTTCTCAACTCCAGTTCCCTCAATTATAGACTCAACAGCGGAAACACTTTCAGTGCACTCCGTGAGATCACTTAGAGGAGAAGAGGAATCTACTTTCTGGGTTTTCTCGATAATATGATGATGAATTTCCTCATGTCCAGACGAAGACATTTTTTCTTCGCTGGACGATGTTCTTATCTTAGGAACATCGCAGCTTGAATCGCTATCATGCGGAAGATTGCTCACGAATTTCCTCATGGAATCATTCGATATATCTGAAGCTGCATTGTCCGATGCAGAGATGGATCTTTCGGACTCATATCGTGTGGTCACTTGCAAAGTTCTCTCAAGTTCGAAGCTTTGACCCAGCGATTTTGCTGGGGTCTGTCCTGCAGAGTCATCGTCTGCTGTCCAGTCTGTCTCAAGGGAGGACTCAATTCGGTCAGTAACGTTCGTCATGGATGAAGAAGTAACGTCAGTCAACTGGGGTGAGTCATCTTCGAGGAGATCTCTTCCGGCTCTCAAAAATTCCTCACCAAGTAAAGTATCTTCCGTTCGTGAACGCCTTGACTTCCTCTCTGGACTTCTTTCTAATACCACGTCTGATCCTTCCGCAGCATCTGACGATGCAGACGATGGGAGGACACTTGAGGCCAGCGACGACACATCCACAGCTGACAAATGAATTTTATCCAGGGGAATAAAATCAATTTCAGGGCGAGGAACAAGGGAATCAGGCTCTTCACTATGTCCTGTTCTAGTTTCGCCTCCAATGCTTTCAACATCTTGCTTTTCTTGCGCGATCAAATCGTCTTGTGGCAAATAAGATGACTGTTCAATGACCTCAGTCACGGATTCAGACGAGTAAACATCAGGTAATTCCAATATATCAATAGTTTTAGAACACTCAGTAGAAGACTGCAAGCTCGATAAAGGTTTAACAAATGTCGACTCCAAAGGAATTTGAATGACTTCATGGAACTCTACAGGATCCTTTAAGGGAGATTTCGACGGACTTGGCGTTTTAGCCTCTTTATATTCAGTGATGTCAACAGTTTTTTTCACAATTTCCAAATGCAGCGACAAGGACTCTTCTTTATATTCACTACTGGCAACCTCAGTAGCAGAATGAATGGTAGCAAATTGTAGAGATCCTTCGAGATCAGGAGATACATCTCTAGCGCTGGGAACAGAGTCTGGCCCGGGAAATTGCTCGACAACGTCAGGAGATTTAAGAATCTCATCCACCTTTTTAACCTCGCATGATTGTTTAACGATCTCTGTCTTCTCAGTGACAATCTTCTCCAGCTCAGGAGACAATTTGGATTCTTTCGGGCTCTCCTTGACACTGGCGACGGATTCTGGCCGGGAGATTTCTTTTGTCGGTTCCGAAATGGGCTCAGGCTCTTTCGGAGCTTCGTCCTTCGAACTGGCGACGGACTCTGGCCTGGAGATTTCTTTTGTCGGTTCCGAAATGGGCTCAGGCTCTTTCGGAGCTTCGTCCTTCGAACTGGCAACGGACTCTGGCCTGGAGATTTCCTTCGGAGACTCCTTGCCAACTTCCTTGACCTCTTCTTTCAGCTCGGCGGATGATTGTGGCCGAGAGGGCTCCTTGGAAGTTGGCTCGACCTTAAGAATCTCATCCTTGGCGACTTCTTGGATCTTCTGCGCAACAATTTCAACTTGTTTAACGATCTCTGTCTTCTCAGTGACAATCTTCTCTAATTCAGGAGACAGCTTGGTTTCTTTCGGGCTCTCCTTGACACTGGCGACGGATTCTGGCCGGGAGATTTCTTTTGTCGGTTCCGAAATGGGCTCAGGCTCTTTCGGAGCTTCGTCCTTCGAACTGGCAACGGACTCTGGCCTGGAGATTTCCTTCGGAGACTCCTTGCCAACTTCCTTGACCTCTTCTTTCAGCTCGGCGGATGATTGTGGCCGAGAGGGCTCCTTGGAAGTTGGCTCGACCTTAAGAATCTCATCCTTGGCGACTTCTTGGATCTTCTGCGCAACAATTTCAACTTGTTTAACGATCTCTGTCTTCTCAGTGACAATCTTCTCCAGCTCAGGAGACAATTTGGATTCTTTCGGGGTCTCCTTGACACTGGCGACGGATTCTGGCCGGGAGATTTCTTTTGTCGGTTCCGAAATGGGCTCAGGCTCTTTCGGAGCTTCGTCCTTCGAACTGGCGACGGACTCTGGCCGGGAGATTTCTTTTGTCGGTTCCGAAATGGGCTCAGGCTCTTTCGGAGCTTCGTCCTTCGAACTGGCAACGGACTCTGGCCTGGAGATTTCCTTCGGAGACTCCTTGCCAACTTCCTTGACCTCTTCTTTCAGCTCGGCGGATGATTGTGGCCGAGAGGGCTCCTTGGAAGTTGGCTCGACCTTAAGAATCTCATCCTTGGCGACTTCTTGGATCTTCTGCGCAACAATTTCAACTTGTTTAACGATCTCTGTCTTCTCAGTGACAATCTTCTCTAATTCAGGAGACAACTTGGTTTCTTTCGGGCTCTCCTTGACACTGGCGACGGATTCTGGCCGGGAGATTTCTTTTGTCGGTTCCGAAATGGGCTCAGGCTCTTTCGGAGCTTCGTCCTTCGAACTGGCAACGGACTCTGGCCTGGAGATTTCCTTCGGAGACTCCTTGCCAACTTCCTTGACCTCTTCTTTCAGCTCGGCGGATGATTGTGGCCGAGAGGGCTCCTTGGAAGTTGGCTCGACCTTAAGAATCTCATCCTTGGCGACTTCTTGGATCTTCTGCTCAACAATTTCAACTTGTTTAACGATCTCTGTCTTCTCAGTGACAATCTTCTCCAGTTCAGGAGACAATTTGGATTCTTTCGGGGTCTCCTTGACACTGGCGACGGATTCTGGCCGGGAGATTTCTTTTGTCGGTTCCGAAATGGGCTCAGGCTCTTTCGGAGCTTCGTCCTTCGAACTGGCAACGGACTCTGGCCTGGAGATTTCCTTCGGAGACTCCTTGCCAACTTCCTTGACCTCTTCTTTCAGCTCGGCGGATGATTGTGGCCGAGAGGGCTCCTTGGAAGTTGGCTCGACCTTAAGAATCTCTCCTGGCGACTTCTTGGATCTTCTGCGCAACAATTTCAACTGTTTAACGATCTCTGTCTTCTCAGTGACAATCTTCTCTAATCAGGAGACAATTTGGATTTCTTTCGGGCTCTCCTTGACACTGGCGACGGATTGGCCTGGAGATTTCTTTTGTCGGTTCCGAAATGGGTCAGCTCTTTCGAGCTTCGTCCTCGAATGGCAACGGACTCTGGCCTGGAGATTTCCTTCGGAGACTCCTTGCCAACTTCCTTGACCTTCTTTCAGCTCGGCGGATGATGTGGCCGAGAGGCTCCTTGGAAGTTGGCTCGACCTTAAGAATCTCATCCTTGGCGATTCTTGGATCTTCTGCTCAACAATTTCAATTGTTTACGATCTCTGTCTTCTCAGTGACAATCTTCTCCAGCTCAGGAGACAATTTGGATTCTTTCGGGCTCTCCTTGACACTGGCGACGGATTCTGGCCGGGAGATTTCTTTTGTCGGTTCCGAAATGGGCTCAGGCTCTTTCGGAGCTTCGTCCTTCGAACTGGCAACGGACTCTGGCCTGGAGATTTCCTTCGGAGACTCCTTGCCAACTTCCTTGACCTCTTCTTTCAGCTCGGCGGATGATTGTGGCCGAGAGGGCTCCTTGGAAGTTGGCTCGACCTTAAGAATCTCATCCTTGGCGACTTCTTGGATCTTCTGCTCAACAATTTCAACTTGTTTAACGATCTCTGTCTTCTCAGTGACAATCTTCTCTAATTCAGGAGACAACTTGGTTTCTTTCGGGCTCTCCTTGACACTGGCGACGGATTCTGGCCGGGAGATTTCTTTTGTCGGTTCCGAAATGGGCTCAGGCTCTTTCGGAGCTTCGTCCTTCGAACTGGCAACGGACTCTGGCCTGGAGATTTCCTTCGGAGACTCCTTGCCAACTTCCTTGACCTCTTCTTTCAGCTCGGCGGATGATTGTGGCCGAGAGGGCTCCTTGGAAGTTGGCTCGACCTTAAGAATCTCATCCTTGGCGACTTCTTGGATCTTCTGCTCAACAATTTCAACTTGTTTAACGATCTCTGTCTTCTCAGTGACAATCTTCTCCAGCTCAGGAGACAATTTGGATTCTTTCGGGCTCTCCTTGACACTGGCGACGGATTCTGGCCGGGAGATTTCTTTCGCGGTTCCGAAATGGGCTCAGGCTCTTCGGAGCTTCGTCCTTCGAATGGAACGGACTCTGGCCTGGAGATTTCCTTCGGAGATCCTTGCCAACTTCCTTGACCTCTTCTTTCAGCTCGGCGGATGATTGTGGCCGAGAGGCTCCTTGGAAGTTGGCTCGACCTTAAGAATCTCATCCTTGGCGACTTCTTGGATCTCTGCTCAACAATTTCAACTTGTTTAACAATCTCTGTCTTCTCAGTGACAATCTTCTCTGGTTCAGGAGACAACTTGGTTTCTTTCGGGGTCTCCTTGACACTGGCGACGGATTCTGGCCGGGAGATTTCTTTTGTCGGTTCCGAAATGGGCTCAGGCTCTTTCGGAGCTTCGTCCTTCGAACTGGCAACGGACTCTGGCCTGGAGATTTCCTTCGGAGACTCCTTGCCAACTTCTTGACCTCTTCTTTCAGCTCGGCGGAAGATTGTGGCCGAGAGGGCTCCTTGGAAGTTGGCTCGACCTTAAGAATCTCATCCTTGGCGACTTCTTGGATCTTCTGCGCAACAATTTCAACTTGTTTAACGATCTCTGTCTTCTCAGTGATAATCTTCTCTGCTTCAGGAGACAATTTGGATTCTTTCGGGCTCTCCTTGACACTGGCGACGGATTCTGGCCGGGAGATTTCTTTCGTCGGTTCCGAAATGGGCTCAGGCTCTTTCGGAGCTTCGTCCTTCGAACTGGCAACGGACTCTGGCCTGGAGATTTCTTCGGAGACTCCTTGCCAACTTCTTGACCTCTTCTTTCAGCTCGGCGGATGATTGTGGCCGAGAGGGCTCCTTGGAAGTTGGCTCGACCTTAAGAATCTCATCCTTGGCGACTTCTTGGATCTTCTGCTCAACAATTTCAACTTGTTTAACGATCTCTGTCTTCTCAGTGACAATCTTCTCCAGTTCAGGAGACAACTTGGTTTCTTTCGGGCTCTCCTTGACACTGGCGACGGATTCTGGCCGGGAGATTTCTTTTGTCGGTTCCGAAATGGGCTCAGGCTCTTTCGGAGCTTCGTCCTTCGAACTGGCGACGGACTCTGGCCGGGAGATTTCTTTTGTCGGTTCCGAAATGGGCTCAGGCTCTTTCGGAGCTTCGTCCTTCGAACTGGCGGTTTGTGAACGGACTCTGGCCTGGAGATTTCCTTCGGAGACTCCTTGCCAACTTCCTTGACCTCTTCTTTCAGCTCGGCGGATGATTGTGGCCGAGAGGGCTCCTTGGAAGTTGGCTCGACCTTAAGAATCTCATCCTTGGCGACTTCTTGGATCTTCTGCTCAACAATTTCAACTTGTTTAACGACTCTGTCTTCTCAGTGACAATCTTCTCCAGCTTCAGGAGACAATTGGATTCTTTCGGGCTCTCCTTGACACTGGCGACGGATTCTGGCCGGGAGATTTCTTGTCGGTTCCGAAATGGGCTCAGGCTCTTTCGGAGCTTCGTCCTTCGAACTGGCAACGGACTCTGGCCTGGAGATTTCCTTCGGAGACTCCTTGCCAACTTCCTTGACCTCTTCTTTCAGCTCGGCGGATTGTTGTGGCCGAGAGGGCTCCTTGGAAGTTGGCTCGACCTTAAGAATCTCATCCTTGGCGACTTCTTGGATCTTCTGCTCAACAATTTCAACTTGTTTAACGATCTCTGTCTTCTCAGTGACAATCTTCTCTAATTCAGGAGACAATTTGGATTCTTTCGGGCTCTCCTTGACACTGGCGACGGATTCTGGCCGGGAGATTTCTTTTGTCGGTTCCGAAATGGGCTCAGGCTCTTTCGGAGCT